GCGGTGGTCAGTCCTGTGTGATGCGTGGACTGCAGAGGATGCCCCATTAGAGATGAGTGTTACACATATAGCCCGTGAAGAGACTCCTCTTGTAGAACAATCTGTGAGTAGAAGAGGGGACTGACTGCTTGGCTGAGAAAAGGGAAGTTATTTTAGTTGTGGGAAAAAAAATTACAGAACAGCATATGTAAAGGGAAAACACTCATTAGAAAATAAAGGAGAAATCTACAAAAACAAAAGGTACTATGTAGGACTGAAAGAACAGTGTTGCTTTACACACAGAAAAATGAGCTGCCACAGGAATCAGTCTAAATTATCTTCAAGTTAGAGCCTGAGAATGCTTGGGCAAGTCTACCTTAAGTTTGCGTCTTTGATATGACACATAGAAGACAGCATGCAGGATGATGATGAAATCTTTCAAGGTTGGAGCCAGAAGACCATTTCCTCCATAGGGAAAATAAATACCTCTATGACCCACTAGGACAAATATAGACATGCCTGGGTGATGCAAATGGTTCTCAAGTGCTAGGTGAAGGTTGGTAGTTCAAACACTAGGCACTCTGGAAGAAAGGCCTGGGAATCTACTCATGAAAGATCGAATGTGCCAACTGTGAAGCAGTTCTCCTCTGAACAGACAGGCTCAGCGGGAGTGGGCAAACAAGAGGGCAGAGTGAAAAGGTGCTTCACACCTGGTCCCCAGACAAATAACCTAGAAAGAAAGAAATCAGATACACTTTTAGGTACAATTTGTAGGAAGAAAAAAAGACTTGTTTTTGGCTTTTAAGCTTCTTATGAACAAGATATGCAGAGTTTGTATCTCGAGTGGTGAATCTAAATTCAACACAACACTCTGTCTAGCTACTATAACTCAGCAGGGTTGCTCAATGGCCTAGTCAGTAGGGAGCTGTGCTGCCAACCCAAAGGTGAGCAGTTCAAATGCACTCGCTGCTCCACAGGAGAAAGATGGGTAATCTCCTCCCTCTGAAAATCCATGGGAGCTATGAGTTGGGTCCCACTTGATGACAATGGAAGAGAAAATAGCAATTTTATAAACTGTTTTAGAATGTATTTTCAACAGAAAAGTTGCAAAAGCAGCAAAAAGATTTTTCATCCACCCAACACCTAGACTCTCTAAACATTAACATTCTGTCATGATTGCTTCTCTCTCCCCACATATACCAACTACCCACTGCCCCCTGGCTGGCTTGAACTCACAGCTAACCACCATCATCAGGTTTTGAACTTAGAGGAGGAAATCTTTCTCTTACAGAGCAGCGTGTGGATTTGAACCACTGACTTTTCAGTTTGCAGCACAACATATGACACTACTCTTCCAGAGTTCCTTAAAAGCTCACGTGCACATTCACATTTCCCAGAAATCCTGTAAGTAGCCATGATAGAGTCTCACAATCAGGAGATCAACGACGATTCAACAGCACAGATCTCTTCTGGATTTCATCAGTTATCTTGATGACGTTCTTCATTAGCAAAAGAAATTGTGGATCATGCCTGGGGCTAGATGGGTACATGTTTTTAGTGTCCTTTAGTCTGGAACAGTTCTTTGTTCCATGTCTTTCATAATGTTGACATTTCTGTCATGGAAGTCAGACAGAAGGGAATCCTTGTTCTCAGTGCAACATGAGGGTTAATTCTGAATATCTAATGTGGTGTCAGCCTCTTTCCTGCTTTTCCTTTTATAATTAGTAAGTGTCAAATGGAAATGGAAGTAGTTTTTCTATAAATAAAGCAGCACTGGAAGGAAAGATATATTTTTAAACAGAAAAAAGCAGCAGGAAAAGAATAAAGTGATATAAATTAAGAGTGAAAGATTAAACAAGAGAACATTTTAAAAATTAGTGACAATATATAAACAGCATCATCTACTAAAGTTTAAAACTAATATAACATGAACTATTTTTAATAATGGTCTTAAATTTTTTTTTCCCTGTAGAGACCAAATCTGGCTGAAATAAATTGGTGACAAGTGGGGGAAAACCTCAATGATTCAAAACAATGCATATGAAAGTACTGAATAGAACATTTGTTTTGGAATGGCTTACAAGTATTTAAAAGAGACTGAAAACACACACTTTTATGCATGTGTGAAGGATTACTGTACTGTGTTGCAAGCAGAGAGACCAACAGCCTGGTAATAGTATCCCAGATATCATAACTGATTCAAGTTGGCCAATCACAGGGAAAAAAGCAATGATTCCATGCTCTGCTGGGTTCTCCTCTACAGTTCACCGGACTGTTTCCAAATGCTGCCTCCACATCAATCTCTCTACCATGCTGCTGACATCATTCCCAGTAAACTGTAGGGGGACTTAGGGGTCCAGGTGGTAGAAGAGAAAATTTTAAAATAAATAAATGAATGAACAGATGTCAATGTGAATTTTGCACACTCTTTTTAAAGTGATGGTCAAAAGCATGCTATCTGGACCTAGAGAAACCATTTCATAAGGTTAAGTCAAGTAAAACAAATCAATGTTGTGGTCAGGTGAAAAAACAGACATCTGACATACGCTGAGTGAGACTTTTTGCCCAGTCTTAAAGAGAGTAAGGTCACTATTGATGAGCTGCACTTGAACTCAAGATTCCTTAACAAGAGATTATAAAAAGAAGACACATATGAAAATATAGTAATACATTTCTTTATTTTCACATACATTGTAGCTAGAAGGGCAAGAGTAGAAATCAACAGAAAATGAGAAAGGTCTTTGGCTGGAAAACATGCACAGAACAAATCCTGTTACTAACTAGCCAGACAAGAGCAACGTTAGTTAGCTTTGTCAATTCTGACTTCATTTGATTCAAAGACAGATCAGAAGTTTTAAAAGTAACAAGAAAATGTTTGAAATCCTTTGACAGCTCTCTTAAATTTAAAAACAAAAAGGCAATCCAATAAGAAATCTATTATCAAAAAGATAAAATTCTGGGTCACTTGTAGTGACGTTCTTTCAAGAACACTGACAAGAAATTTCCTTAAAGTATTCTGGGATGGAAGATTGTCATGTCTCCAACAACACTGAGTTGATACTGCTCCTTGGAATAAAAATAGGTCCCCTTTAAAAACAAAACAAAGCAAAACCAAAAACAACACAGAAAACCAGCTTCTTTGAGTAATTTATATCTTAATTATAACTTTTTTTCCATTCTGGACTATTAAATAGATTCAGGTAATAAATTAAGACATTAATAGTCTTACTACATGGTAAGATAAGCAGCCTGCAGGCATTTGCAATATATACATTCGTATGAAAATCCTGGACTTGTATTTTTCATCTGCAATTTAATACTTTCAAATTCAGTCTTAACACACACTATGGCATTTATCGACTGATTCCTTCATGGCAATGATTTCTTCCGGCAGCAGTAAAGAAGATAAGGCAAGAAGAATGCTGCAGCGCCGTCTTCTGGGAGGGCGGCCAGGAAATCCCTCAGCTCTAGCTCCACAGCCAAAACTGACAGGGTTTCTGTTCACAGGCAAGAATATGTAGATCAGTACTGAGTCAGACTGTTACCAAACACTCCTCTCATCAGTCAGTCAGAAGCTAGTTCAAGCAATACAGTCAGTTACTGCCATTAAGTGCCACCTAGGCGGAACCAAATTCAGTCAGTTTTCAGAAACTGTAAGTGACACGGAGGGAGACTGCCCATTTCTCTCCCACACAGCAGTGGGTGCTGGCAACACAACTCCTTACACTAGATCTCCCTGTAAGAATCAGTACATGCACTGAAACAGATGAGGGAGAGAACTGTTTAAAAGGGCTATGTGATTAGGTATTATTGTCAGGACAGGAGTCCAGAACGAAGGCTGCACAGTGGAGCGGACATGGGGGAGGGATTGCATAACAATGAAAGAATTTTTCTTTTACTTTTCAAAGAGACGAGTGTACTGGGGGGTGGGGTGGACAGGGAAAAAAGTGTAACAGTGAATGAAAAGAAAGCCAAAGTCTCTGTAAATTTTCATTAAAATTAATAATAATAAAAAAAATTGACTTGAAAAAGAATCAGTATAGTATCTTAAATACAGGCTATGGTTTTAACAAATTAAACACTTTCTGGAAGTGTCAGAAGGCTATGCAGTTTGAACTTGCTATTGCTAGATTCTGGAAGCAGGAGTGGTATCCACTTGCTGAAGAATGTGCCTCTGGAAACTCTATGATCGTCGAGAAACTACGATAGTTTATAGGAAGGCTTCAGGTCTTTTGCTCATGGGGTCTGTAGGAGTCATGCTTGACTTGACGGCAATCAACAACAACATTGCTAGATTGCATTATATTTTAGCAAATTTCTACTATATTTTAAAGACAACAGAATCACTTGAATAATATTATACTACTGCAAGAACACACACACACACACACACACACACACACAAATATACTTGGCATAAATATATACTTGGCAATATGACATTTTTCACATGTGTGATTTAATGACACTGATTCATCATGCGGAACAACAATCATAATTATCTGCTGCTTAATTTCCCATCATAATAGATACTCAGTCTAAGTATGGGGGCTACACTGCACATAGCTTGTTACATTTAAAAAATACCATGAACTGTTAGGTATCATTATTAAGTAACAGCCTCTTAAACCAATGCCTTTCGAGACTGACATTATTGTAAAGACTTCCATGTTATTCATAAGCACCAATTTGCTTTCCTGACACTTTTATCTTTTTCCAAACTGCAAAATAATGTGTTTGAGTGAACATTTCCAGTATTCACTAGAGAATTCATGATATTGAAGGAGTAGCAGTCAATAAATATCCAGGTATACATACATTTTATAACTTTCCCCACAGAGCACTGTGGATCCCTACCTGCCTGTGCCGTCACTCAGCAAGTGGGAAACCTAGAACGCAGTTCCAGTGCTCAGATCTCAGGCTCAGCTTTGTGTACTGTGTGTTGTACTCTGTGTATTTTGTGTTGAGCCACCATCAGAGAAGTCCCTTTTAAAACGGACTTGAATAAATATACAGAAATGAGAGTTTACTAGGGTTATGGAGCAGGGGGAATGGGATTACTGTTTAGGAGCAACTGAATTCCTGTTTACGTAAACAGAAGTATGGCAAAAACACTGGGAATAGTTACACAACATGAACTGGTCTCACTAAACTGTATATGGAAAACAAATGTTGAATTGGTAGCTGTGATGTTATCTATTACTTTCTAATTGGGGTGGGGAGAACCCATGGCCCTGAAGTTCTCCAGGTGTCGCCCCTTCACATCAAGGGTTACAGACTGCTCCCCAGTAAGAGGCATGCTGCCGGGGAGTGATGTACAGCAGCACAGAACCACCGTGCCAGCCTTCAGACACGGCGTCACACACAGTGCCAGGACCATCACTCACTTACACACACGTGTTCCGAGAGATAAAAGGAAAACTACTATGGGTAAGAGGTAGAGGGTTTGTATGCAGATCATAAAAGGATGATGTCAGCAAGCTCTGGTGGCAAGAAGCTGCACTGCAACCCCAGAGGTGCACGGTTTGAATCCACCAGATGCTCTGCTGGAGAAGGAGGGGCAATCTCCTCCTGTACCAGTCAGATCTGATTTGACGGTACACACAATAATAAAGTAAAATTTAAAAAAAAAAGGATGATGTCTCCAAGAGGTGAAGATGAGGTGTGTCTGCACTAGAAAGTGATCCACCACACAGAGCTGTCCCTTGGTATCTCCAGCGGAGTGCTTCTAGGACAGTATTCACCAAAATCAGATGCTCAAGTCCCTCATATAAAACGGCCCTTTTCCGCACGTATGAATATCAAAATCGGAAGCTGCTCAAGTCCCTCATATAAAATGGTAAAGTATTTGCACATATTTGCACACAACCTTCTGTATACCTTCTACAGAAGGCTGGGCCTGGGGATGCGGTCCTCATGATTACTGAGGGCCTACTGTAATCATTTCCAAATTAATAAATTTGATGCAGGATGATCATCAAACATCTGCCACTTGCTTCTTTGTGAGAAACGTAGAAAGATGGCTGACCTCCACTGAGTTTTGGAGGAGACTTGTCCATCTTTCTACTGAGGAGCTGTTGATACCCAATACTACGGAGACCCGGCCTCTGGGTTAACGGTACAGCTCCCTACAGAGTAGAGGACTGTGTGAGGGTCCTCCTCAACTCTGGTGGAATCACAGAAAACATCAGAAAAGGCCACGCTTCGGCAAATTAAGGAAACTAAAACTCAGACTTTAAATCTTATAATCCAGGATAAGATGGTGACAATTTTACCTTTTAACGATGACAAGTAGAGTTGATATTTCTCTCCACCACATTTTATTCTCCGACAAAGTTCAGGCAGTAATTTCTTCCACCACAGAGTCTATCTTGTGGAAAAATGAGTAAATTTGGGTTTGGTAAGAACAAATACTCTTCAATAAAAAGATTCACAAGGAGACTATACAGGAATTTACTAGGCAAAATAATCTCATTTTTTCAAAAGCAGCAACATTTATTACAACAGAGGTTATAATGAGCAGGCAGTCCTCTGTTTGAATTGTTATGTAACACAAAAGTCAAGTTCTTTTTCTTTTTAAATTTTTTATTTTATTTCATTATATTTTGTGTGTACCGTCAAATCAGATCTGACTGGTACAGGAGGAGATTGTTCCTCCTTCTCCAGCAGAGCATCTGGTGGATTCGAACCGTGTACCTCTGACATTGCAGTGCAGCTTCTTGCCACGAGGCCACCAGAGCTCGCCAAAAGTCAAGTTCTTGACTTCAAAAGTCAATAATGCAAACATTGTATATATCCATTTGCTGTATTTGAGATGAAACACAGACATATCCTATCATTGTCTCTTAGATGGCAAGAAGAAAGAAAAAAGTTAACCTCTAATAATTTCTAAACTAAAAGACAATTAGCATAAAGATTTTTCATCCATTGGTTTCCAAAATCTCCAGGTAATAACTTATTTCATTTCCAAGAATTTTTTCCATAAACAGAACATAACATCATAAACTAATTCCAACTAATGTCAGCCCCACTGTTCTGGTGCAAAGAGCACTCCGCAGGGTTCCCAATGGCCGTGATCACATAGGTCACCAGGATTCTGTGTATACTGGTAGATGTGGTTGTTCTGAGTTGCCTGCCACTCCCTTCTGCCTCAGAGCAGACCCATATGTCCACAGTAGAACTGCTAGGACTTTTCAGAAGCAGATCGTCAATACCCATCTCCTGAGGTCCCTTCGGGTGGGCTCAGACTGCCCATTTTTGCCTAGTTTAGCATTTAATTGTTTCTACCACCCAGTAACCCATCATCACCGTAACATATATTAAACATATATGGCCATTTGACTTACACGACCCTGTGAGGCTGGGCCAATTTGTTTCTATTCAGCAGACAAGGCAAAGGCAACAGGACCATCAAATTTGATCAAATTAAAGAAACATCATGTGAAGAGCGTACCCGATTCTCTTCTTTGAGCTCATGATTGGCGTATGGAATGACGGCCTCCGGGCACCGCTCTAACAGTGTGTCTATGCACTGTTCATACTCTTTCAACCGCGTGTGACACAGAACGTGGACACTGAGGCCAGCAGGGGTGTCTTCTGAGAGCAGCTCCAGGAACGGAATAATGGAAGCTATGTCAAATGAAGGACCACATATAAGAGACTATGAACAGAAAAGTGAGATGTTACAGAGTGAAGGCGTCAAGAAACTAAACAAAACATGCAGGACACAATTCTTTAATAAGATCAACCCCAAGCCAGTGTCAAAAACAATGTATGAACTTTGTAATAAACCAGTATTTTTTTAAAAAAATAATAACCTCACTCACCAAAAGGGGGGGAGAATGGACTAAAGTATTATCTTGAAAACATGTTTTGTTAAAGGATAAGGACCTATAGACTAGAAAGCAACCATTTTTTAAACATACGGTTTTATTTGCTTTGGATGAACTATAAATTAAAACTGATGGGACCATTTTAGGACCTACTCCTAGGAAAATAAGTAATTATTTGTTCTAAACTTTTGTTTAGTGATGTTCATAAAAATACTTGTGATATTAATAAGAAATAATCTTATTAAAAATGGTGGAGTAAATAAATTACAAGACATTTTTATGATGGAATTTTCTGTAAGTAAAAAGTATGTTTTCAATGACTATTATGAGACCCCAGATGAGTTGGATTAATACAGTATCTGGGGTAATGGGGTTGGTGTGTCAGAATTAGTGAAACTGGCTCAGGACAGGGAAGGGTTCAGAGCTGCTGTACATAGTGTCACTATAGGTTGCAGGTGACTCGACAGCACTTAACAATTACAAGAAAATGCTCATAATCTCAGTAAAAAAGCTCAAAATAAAATTATATTCAGAGCATCTTTAAAGTTTTGTAAAACATCATTATACTTTTGTACAGAGGGATATATATATATATATATATATATATATATATATATATAGAATATCTATGGGAGGCCATCAAAAAACAAAACAAATTATCCCTCTAGATAGGAAGACAAAGTATATATTTTGTTTGTTTGTTTTCCTCTTAATGCTTTTTGCATTATCTATATTTAAGCACCAGGGGATATTAACATTTAAAATAAATAAAACCTAATTATTTGTTAGTTTCATTTGCCACCAGCTCCATGACATCGACAGCAGTGAAATTTAGTTGATATAGGAAGTCCCTTCACACCTGTCTTGTAATATTATGTAAACTGGCCCCCACTTTGAAGATTTAACCAACCCCTACTTGAAATCTAGTGGAAAGAAGCTACACTGCCAGCCCAAAGGTACACGGTTCAAATCCACCAGCTGCTGCTCCTGGAGAGAAAGCTAGGCAATCTCCTCATATACAGCTTCTGAAAACCCACTGGAGGGGTAGTTGGGAGTCAGCGCCAAGTCAACAGCACCCGATAACAAATACACACTTGAAATAAGAGAGGAGAGCTCTGGTGGCCGAAGCAAGCAGCACTGCTCACCCCAAGGCCGAGCATCCCCAGAGCCCTTAGTCATCAGCGCCCCGCAGACGGGCACGCGCCTCCATTAAACTTCAGTCTCGAAACCCAACTGAGGCTGGCTGTGAGGCAGAAACAACTTGAAGGCACCAAGTCTGAGGGATATTTTTTACTTGAAACAAATTCTTTATTAAGATCATCTTCACTTGCTGAATTTTCAGCAAGCTTTTTCTGGCCTCAAAAAAAGAGAATGCACCTGTTTCAATTTACCTACAAATTCTTAAAGACACAGGAATGGATGGTGTTCAGACCTGGACACTGTATATTTTATTTTTGTTATGTTGTTGTTGTTATGTGCCGTTGAGTTGCCTGTGATTCACAGTGACCCTGTGTACAGTAGTGTAAAGTATAAAGCCTGCCCTGTTCTGAGTCAGTCTCACTAATTCTGACACACCAACCCTTATTACCCCAGTTACTGTATTAATCCACCTCATGTGGGGTCTCCCTCTCCTGTGCTGTCCCATCCACCCTTCCAAGCATGATGTCTTTCTCCAAGGACCGGTTTCTCCTGGTTACAGGCCCAAAGTTTTACTTTTAGGCATGTAAAAGATAAGTATTACTTTTTATTCTACCACCAAAATAACTGTACTTTCTCTTTCTCCTCAACAGACGTGACAGTCATGTCATAATCTTCTCTCTGTATCCTTTTTGCTACAGCATCTTCTCAGAGTCATCAAAGAAAATGGGATGTGAACTATGCATTTACTATCAGCTTGATTATCTTCTTTCAAAGATCTACCAAAGAATGGCTAAGAGAATAAGGTTGGTCCCTTTCCTTACTGTTCAGTAATTATGACTTTAACAAAATAAAGAGGAAACAAAGTGGTAATCTCGTATGCAAAGGGGCTCAAAACATGAGAAAAAAAACCCAGAAAATTTGTATACTCAATTTAGGGTTAAGTGGAATCACTACAGAAAAGAAAAAAAGATAGGACTAGCTCATATCATAATTATATCAGTCAAAACTTGTTACAAAATGATTCTATAAATTAAACTTTATTTTTATGTGGCCTCCAGACAACTATAACTCATGGGGACCCTAGAAAGATCAGATCAGAGCATCTTGTCCGAGTCTGAGCCATCATCATGTTCTCTGACATCTTCAAGCCTACTTGTCACAGTCACTGCATCACTCCAACTTGTTAAGATTCTTCTCTTTCTCGGACTGTCCACCTTTCCAAGAATGATGCCTTCTTCCAAGAACTGGACCCTCCTGATAAATTTTACTTCACTTTATGTCACCAACAAATGTGACTGGTATAAAAAAACCACCCACCCTCCTTCACAGCCATGGAGTCGCAATCTACACAAAGCTGACCCTCCACTGGGTTTTGGAGGCTGCAGATCTCATGGGAGGAGACTGCTCATCTGCCTCCTGCAGAGCATCTGGGAGATTTAAACAAGTGCCGTTAGCTTGCCAGAGCTTTTCTCAGCACTAGACATTAATCATCTGATGAAGACTGTTTAAGAGGCTACTAACACTGACTTCTGAGCAGAGTGACTCATTTTCTCTAGTATTAGAAATGGACTGACCCCACTCTTAAACATGCGCGACTCTCTCCTGCCATTTATGTCCCTCATGGTTAACCCTGACCGAGCAGGGATGGGATCCTGACACCCAGGCAGCCACACTGTGGCTCTCAGGACAGATGACTACAAAGATGGGTCAAAGAGACAGGGCCAGTGATGACCAGCATAGTGGATTTAGCAGTTACTATGTCATTCCACGCGAGTTCTAGTGGTTTAGTGATGGGGAGCTGCACTGTCAGCACAAAGGCACTTAGGCTGAATCCACCAGGGCTCCGTGGGAGAAAGCCAGACAATTGCTTCCTGTGTGATTTACTATCTCTGAAAGCCCGCCGAAGGGTTAGCTATGAGTTGGTTCTGATCTGATGGCACATAAAAAAAACATATAATGTCAAAGGAGCCCTGGTGATGCAGTGGTTAAAATGCTCAGCTGGTACCCAAAGGGTTATCAGTTCGAATCTTTTGGCTGCTCCTCACAAGAGAGAGATGCTAGTTGGCTCCCAGCTGAGCAGCCTCAGTAACACGGGGGAGGTTCTACTCTGTCCTGTAGGGCTGCTCAGTGGGTCAAACCGACTGACAGCACTGGATTTAGGGGAAGTCTTTTGGTTTTGCTTATTGTCATTCCTAATAGAGATTTTGTTTTTAGCATGCAGATTAACTGTAGAGTGCAACACTTGATTTTAGCCAAAAGGCCGAGAAGTGATTAACTATAGAGGACTTTCAAGGCATTACCACTCAAACCCACAGGGGCAGAAACCCTAGTGGTTTCTGAGGTTGTCATCTTGGTGGGAAGAGACTGCCAGGTCCTTCCCTTGAGGTCGCTAGGTCAGTTCAGCCTGCCAAGCTTTCAGTTAGCACCAGAACGCTTCCCCACTGTGCTCCTGAGATGATTTACAGATCGATTTTCATTTCTGCAGAGAGATCCTATTATAGCGATGAAGGGCAAGACAGGGACCCACAACCAATCTGTGTGAGGGGAAGGGAACGTGTGGGGCACATGATTTTAAACTCTCCCTTTTCTGTATAACAAATTTTTCTTAATCATTAAGACTAATCCACTCACAGATCAAAGAACGGATTCAGAGAAGTTTAGGGAATCTACACTTCTATCTTTTAATAATCAAGTTCCTCAGGGGAAAAAGTACACGTTCTAAAAACCTGAGAGTTAATATTTTATAAGAGCTGAATTTTCCAAGCAGTGATGATAGAAACACCTTAGAACTGTAACAGGAGAGACTCAGTAGTGACAACTGGGTCATCAGTGTGCACGTTCCCCAAGGGCAGACCCTTGCCAGTCTTCCCAGTGCAGCATGCCATACTTCCAGCACATGCTAAGGAGTGAAGCTCTTAGCAAAAGCCTCTGTATCACAAGGGAACGAGGGCCAGGAACCAACATAAAGCTCCTTCAGTGAATTTTAAGGATGTCATGAACTCTACTTTTGGAAATAACTGTCCGGTCTACTGGTTGAGCCTAAGCAACAGGCTCTTCCAGCTCCCCCAACCTGTACCCCTACCAGGCCAGTTCGGTGTCTGTAAATAGTTACTTCACCTACACTACCTGCCAGGGAGGAAGCCCGGGGCTGCAAGCTCAAAAGTGTAAAATGGCTAAATGGGAAATGAAAATGAATGACGGGAAAGGAATGCAGGGAAAAGGACAGCTGGACTCAGCCTGGGGATCAGGAAGACACGGCAGCACTGGTGGGGCCTGCAGCACACGGAGTGGCACATGAGCTGTGCAGGAAGGGGGGACACCAGAGACTGTGGCACACAGAGCAGCACGTGTGCTGTGAAGGGACACAAGCACCAGGGACTGCAGCACACGGAGCGGCACATGAGCTGTGCAGGGAGGGGACACACCAGAGACTGCGGCCATGGACCAGCTGGTGGATTCAAACTGTGTGCCTTTGAGACTGCAATGCAGCTTCCTCTCACTAAATAAATTAGGGCCAAGGAAAACACCAGCAAGTCTTAGACATTCTACCAGTTTATCAATGTTTTCAAGTCTGTTATGGATTTGTGCCCTAAAATTACATACTGGAGAGGAACAGGGTACTGGAAGTTTTACCAAATTGAAATCTCACACACTGCATTGTAACATGTACATTCATAAGAAAAATAGGTATCTATATTTACCTGTAATTTTGAAAGGTCTTCTGTATAATTTTTATCAGCTGAGGAATCAGATGATACTAGGACATTAACCCATGGATAGATTAAACCATAATGACTGCAGGCATTTATCTAAAATGTAAAAGATATTTATGAGATAAAGAACAATTTTTTAAAAAGATCAGAAAGTCCTTTAAAATAAAAGCAAACTAAAAAAAAAAAAGTCCTCCTTCATCCATTCTACAAAAAAATTACACAAGCAATCATTAATCCTCTGCTATATTACAGAATTAAGTATATACTTTCTCTGGAACTGGAAAGGGAAATTGTCCAGAATGTATTCCGCCCCCCACCCCCTCAGCAAAAAGAACTACACTGCTTTCAAGCTAACTGCACTCAAAAAAGAATCAACAGTAATAATTGAAATTATTTTTATGTAGACTACTTTCCTTGGCAGGCAAAATATCTTCCAGAGATTCTCAAGGCTTTCCTAAGCTCAAGGCTTTTCCATAAGCTCCCCTCAGGAATTTGGTGAATTTCTCAACTAACCTACATTAGCTACGGCATCCGGGAAAGGCAAAGGGGCTGGAAGGGAGGGGGAGCGTGCAGGAAGCAGATGCCGTGGCTGCCCCGGTGCTCTTGAACGTCTCCCATGTGCACAGTCACAGGAAACGGCAGCCCACTAGGAAGTGTCTCTCCAATAGCCTTCTGCAGTTCCTCTCCCACTGTGAAGTCTACAGATTTCTCTTTTGTCTTGATCCACTTTAGGATTCTCGTCTCAATGTGTATAGACTAGGAGATATTTTGGGGTGAGCCCCTTCCCACATATTTTGGAGGCTGAGTTAATACAAGAAAGCAATACAGAAGTTGCCAGAGGCCTCTTGGGAGATATAATTGGAGTGTTGGCCACTTCAGTTACTAATAAGCTTAAGGTGTACTTTTAACTTCTGTGCTAATACAGGGCATATAAACTGGTTTGGTCATTAAGATTTTAAGTCATTAAGAATAAGAAAGTGTGTTATTCAGTGTTAATAACCAAAACAGCACGGTACTGATACAATGTACAGGCACACAGACCAAGGGAACAGAAATGAAGACCCAGAAATAGACCCATCTATCTATGGTCAACTGATATTCGACAAGAAAAGAAACCTATCAAATGGGGAAATGACAACCTCTTGAACAGATGGTGCTGGTAAAATTGGACTACTACCTGCAGAAAGCTGAAACAGGATCCACATCTCACACCATGCACAAAACTCAACTCAAGGTGCATCAGAGACCTGGGAGTAAAGCCCAAATCATAAAGTTCATAAGAGACAAACTGGGATTAAGCTTAGATGGCAGTCTATGGTATAAAAAACCTGCCAAATACAGCCAGAAAAGCACAATCTGGAGAGGATAAAATTGATGAATGAGACCTCCTAAACATTAAATCCACGTGCTCATTAAAAACATTTTCCAAGAGTGAAAAGAAAGCCTACTGATTGGCAAAAACATTCGGCAATACTATTTTAGACAAGGGTCTCATATCAAAACTTTGTAGAATCCTACAGGGCATCCACAATAAAAACAGTGATAACACAATTACAAAGTGGGCAAAACATATGGGAAGAACTTTCAGAGTAAGATATGTGGATGGCCAAAAGACACATGAAGAAATGCTTAAAATCAATGGTAGTAAGAGAGATGCAAATCAAAACCACAATGAGATACCCTCTCACTCCAGCAGTAGTGGCAAAGTTTAACAGGACAGCAAGTAATAAATGTTGGAGAGATTGCAAAGAGAGGAATTCTGATACAGTTAGTGGGATTATAAAATGGTACAACCACTCTGGAAGGCAGTTTGGCACATCCTCAAAAAGCTGAACATAGAAATACCATAGGACTTCAGCTATTCCACTGCTTGGAATAAACCACAAGAGAACTTTAGAACTGAGGCACAAATGGAGATTTGTACACCAACGTTCATACCAGCACTAGTCACTATCACAAGAACACAGAAACAGCCCAATGTCCAACCACAATCAAATGGGTGTAGTCACATGATGGAATACAACACACACACAGGAGCAATGATTTTGAAAATCACTGCCCAACTTAGGAGGGACTGGAGAGCATTATGCTAGGTGAACTCAGTCCCAAAAGGACAAATACTGTATAAAACCATTATTGTAGAAACAGAAAGAGAACTAGTAAAATGTGTATGATAATCCAAGGTGGGAGTGTAGAAGCAGAGTGGTGAGGACAGGCAATAATCACAAGGTTGCACAATCTGATGGGTGAAGGGAGGTGTCGGTACAGAAAATGGGAAAGAACTCGTGTGAAAAACAGTGTATACGAACTTTGTAAGTAAATCAGTATAAAATAAAAATTTCATTTAAAAAGCAAAATAAAACAAAGTGTATTAGTGAAGATAATGTGCCAGTATAATTTAATGTCTTCTTCCATTCTCTTACCAGATCCTCTGACGTTCGTAAGGGTGGAGAGTCGGGCTGCTGCCTCTTTGATAATCGCCAGATGTAATGTGATGTGAGCTTGAAAAACAGTTCCTGAAGTACCATATCGGGGAGGCACGCTACCAGCTGAGCTTCCCAGAAGTCCACCAAGAGCTGAGGAGCCCAATCTTCGTCCTCACCACAGAGCACCTGGTGTAAGAGCAAGACAAGCCCCAACTGACACAGACAAATTAACATTGACCAAGTCACAACGTCACGTGGGTCATAAATGAACACTCAACTGAACTCAATGCCATCAGTTCAGAACTGACACACTGCTGACAAGGCACAGGGTTTCTGAGGCTATAAATCACATGGGAGAGTGTCCACTTTTCTCTCAAAGAGCCCCTAGTGGACCTGAACGGTCAGAAGGACGCTGCCTGAAAGTTAACATGAGTGCTTCCTACAAACTACATCCCCAGAGCTCCCTTTAATAATCTCTCTAGAAGGATCAATGCCACAACAGAAGCAAATCCAGACATTCTGGAAGGAAACTGGAAACAGACTGCATGAATGCAATTTTCCAAGATACTGTCTTTTCAATTCTATTTTTATCTTTTAAACTGATTAGGCTAAGTCTAGGCTTTTTTAATATACATATAAGTGAATGAAAAATTTTCTCCTATAAACTGATGCTTGCCTCTCCACTGTATTTATCAGCCCATCTAGACAAACTACATTTCCAAAGAGGCAAACCTTAAAGAAAGAATCTGCTTCTTCAATTCCAATTTTGTTGTTCTTCTGTAAGCCCAAGACTGAGGCCACAATCAGTCCTGGTTGGGTCGTCTTCAAGTGAACCGCAAGCTCAGTTGGAACAATCTGTCCTTTCTGATGCTGAATCAGAAGTCGAGGTTCCAGAATGAAGCCACGGACCAACTTCATCTTCAGATAAAAAGAATTTAGGAGTAAACTACACACTGCAGTCAGGTTGTCAATATTTAAAATGCTTTCTAGTGTATTTAAGATTTACAGTTAAGCTTTATTCATTTACTTATATCTCAATTTCTTTTACTACAAAATTAAGTAACATATTATAAAAACAAAATAAAAAAAATCCAAAATTAGTTATTACACAAAAGAGGAAATCATTGTTTTGGTTGGGGGGGAGGAGGTTAATTTTTTTTTTTTCATTTTAATTGAGATTTTAATGAAAGTTTATAGAGAACTTGGATTTCTATTCATTCATTGTTGCACATTTTCCTCCGTACCATCCTGCCATTCACTTTTCTCTTTGAAAAAATTTCCTTCATTGTTGCACAATTTCCTTCTCCCACCCCAGTCCACTTTACTATTCAACTCTCATTCTGGACTCTCGTCATGCAAAAAATACCCAATAATATATTCCTTTTAACACGTTGCCACAAATGATGGATATACATCGAGGGGGGAAAAATGTGTTTCTAAGCACGGTCATCAATTTAAAAGAGTGTGGCAACGTGTTAAACACATCTTTTCATCTTCTGTTTCAATGCAGCATATGTTATTTATTCCTTCTTTTCTTAGTTTCCCTCCACCATGTCAGTCCTGTTCTATAACAGTGACATTATGCACTATTTGTCCTTTTGTGACTGAGATAATTCACCCAGCATAAAGGAGGACATCACTGTTTAAGCTACTCATATGAAAAAAAAAATTTTTTTTCCATATGAAAATTTATGAGCCATAAGATGTCCTAATTCTGTAGAAAGATTTATATTCCCTCTACTTGACTGAAAAATAGGTAACAAATTTAGGTTTGGTTTGGTTGGGCTTCCAAAATTACTGATGAAAATTCATTTGTAAATCATTCTATTTTTCAAACCAGAGAATGTATGGATGTCAACTGGCTCTCCTCATCACAGAAAACCCATCAGTGATCTTCAGATGTTCTTGTTTTAGAATCCAAAATCCTGCTGTGGGGATCTGACCAAAGTTAGGCAACACAATGAATAATGGAGCCAGACTGCCTGGTTCAAGTCCTGGCTCTACAACTCAACAGCATGACCTGCACAAGCAGTTCAGAGGCTCCGTCTCAGATTCCCCATCTGTACAATAGCTAGGGCAATATCACCAACACGGAGGACTGTGAACATCCAGTCCAGGGGCTTAGAAAAGAAATGGCTGGTACACAAAATGTTCAGTGGTACACCTTAAATGACTAACATCTTTGTCTCATGTTCCCTAAATGGCCTCTTTAAAAAAGAAATAAAGCCACTCTTCCTTCAAGACTACATCCAACCACCCGATCCTCTATGAGGATTCTGCCATACTCCCAAGAGGAAGTTATCGCCGTATGCGCTGGGCTCCCCCGCTCGTCAGCATCCCTCTTCCTGCACTCACACACTTGTCCCCATTCGGGTTCTGGTGCACACCCTCATCCCACGCCAGATCAGACCGTCTGCGAGGGCCAGGGCTATGCATTCTTCAGCACCACGTATAGTCCTCTGACCCACCAAGATGAAAGGTCTCCAGATACCCATTACTGCCATTTATCTTTTCTTTTTCCTCATTTGCCAAACCTAAAGTCACAAGCACTCCTATCTGAGGTCACTTTCAAGTCTATTTATCTTACCACTCAGAAAAACTGAGTTGGAAAGAAGTCAGAAGGTTAAACACCTCCGAATTAGAGGAGGAAAAAGAAAGCCTATTGCTGGAATTGGTTCTGACCCACAGTAACCCTAAAGGGCAGGACAGAACTGCCACTTAGGGTTCACAAGGCTATAAATCTTTTCAAAAGCAGACGGCCACATCTTTATCCCACGGAAGGGGCTAATGGATTGGAACCACTGACTCCTTAACCACTGTGCTACCAGGCCTGCATCTTGCAACCAGCTAGTCCTACCTGAGTGTGGGATAAGTGTTGGGCAGGGTACCGTACCTCTGAATAGCTTTTCATTTCATTTCTGAGCGTGTCAAGATCTCCCATTTTCAGAGCCATTGTCGCCTTGGCCAGTGTCACTAAGACGGATGAAAACCCAGAAGCATCCAGCTTCTTAAGGTAGCTCATGGCAGTCAAAGGATTAGCGTTCTTCATAGAAGAGCTGCAGACAACATGAGGCAACTGCTTTGGCTCAGCTGCATGAAACATCTGGATCACTTTTGCTGCTAATTCCTTTGGGAAGCGTGGACAAGTACGAAACCAGTCAGCCAATAGGAAGCAACAACAAAAAAAAATAAAAATGAAAAAATATAAAAGCCTATTAACTAAGATACAGAACAAGTTGAGCTGAGTTGTAACAAAGAAAATGCTGTGAAATGTATGCTAGGTTGTGGCTAGTTTGAACAGGAATTCAGAAGAATGCAAATGCTTCAATACATTATATTTGAAAGTCCACTATATAAAGTATAAAATACACCCAATAAGATCATTAACATAAGAAATATTTATTTCCCTCAAAATCTTAAAACATGTGGATGGCAATTTCCAACTTGGCATATCTGCATTCAACTATTTCAAAAAATACTTAAGGGGCTAAAAAGAACTTCAATAATGTCTAAGCTCCCTGGGTCAGTTTCCCGAGTGAACCCTGGATAGAAGACTTAAGAGAGTGAAGTCGCCAGGGAGGCTGCCCATACTCAGTCACTATTCCACCGACAGGCTGTGGTCACACTGGGCAGGTCACTCAACTACCCACATCTCACTGCTGTCTACCCAACTAGCCATGGAGGACACGTAATCACACCACACAGTTTTCTGAGGTGGTAATCTTTGCTCATTTTTCTCCCAAGTAACAAGTGGTGTGTTCGAATCACTGATGTTTAGATTAGCAGCCAAGCTCTTTAACCACTTTACCAGCAGGGCTCCTCCACCGAACTTTAATAGACCACATTTCCCCATCTGTATAATGAAAAAGTGTGAGAGGATGACCTCTTAAATTCTGTCCTAAGATACATTCCAGGACTACAAATGGGGGGAAAGGTTACATATTTTCACAGAAAAAGAAAACTGTATTACTAAAGAAGAAAAATACCTGGAATTGGCTTTAAATAGTATCACTTAAAATAAATTACTTAAATGAAAATATAAACACGTTAACTACAACTAAATAAGAAAAACTATATTCACTTCACTTAATTCTTCATCCAGGTTTTCATAAAGTGAATGATTAATGTAAAAGATTAATCCTCTCTCATATTTCTGCGGTCCTTCCTCTACGATCCAATCCACTCGGGCTAGGACCTCAGCCATCGACAACCCAGACATCTTATAGTACGGCAAGGCAAGATGGGAATGCTGGGTGTCAAGCCTGATGGAAAGGAAAGAAGAAGATCGCTGTCAGCAGACACATTCAAATATGCAACGGACAAATTACAAAAATATTTTTCTACTGCCCTTAGTATATGTTTTTTTTATTTTACAAAATCATTCTAATTAAGGCAGTTTATTATTTGCCTGCATCCACTTCATAAACAACATGCCTCTGGAAAGTCTGATAACTCTTGAAACTCTGATGAACTTTGATAAATGACAAGAGTTATAGAAAGGCTTCTGGCCTTTTGTTCAAAGGTTTGCTATGAGTCATGCTCGGTTAGACAGCAATCAACAACACAACAATTCATAATTAATATAGAAAAACAGTAATTCATTAAGTGAACTTCAGTGTTCATGATATGGTTCTAACATATTTGAAAATAAACAGAAAAAGAAAAACCTTTATTATTTTATAATCATTTAACGGGGAACTCTGGCGGCCTAGTGGCAAGAAATGTCTGCTGGGTTGTGGCTAGTTTAAACAGGAATTCAGAAAAATGCAAATGCTTCATTACATTACATTAGAAAGTCCATTATGTAAAATTACAACTTAGTATAAAAAAGCAGTGCAATCCCGAAGGCATGCAGTTCGAGGCCACCTGCTGCTCCCTGGGAGAAGGATGGGCAATCTCTTCACATGCAATTAACTGCCTCTGAAAACCCACCAGAGGGACAGATGTGTGTTGGTTCTAACTATGTTTCACAACAACAGTAACAATCATTAATAGGAATCAAGTAAGACTTAGCATAATCCTAGATAAAAATATTTCTTAAACATTATTCCCATAAAAACAACTTTTCATCCTAGTGAACATTTCTGGCATCATAAAAATACAGTCTGCAATGTTTAAAATCATAGACTATCCAACTAGCACCTGTCTTTTTCACTAATGGACAATAAACTATTTATGTGGTAGCTTCTGTGAAGTTTAACTGACCACCTAAAGAAAAATTTCGAATTCCTAAATCAGTAGTGGTAGAAACATACTGACTTTGAGATCCCCTGTTTATTGAAACTGTGACTCCTTGAAAGCCAAGAATAGGTTAGGTTCGTCTTTCTAGCTATAACACATGATACAAAACCAAAACTCACTGCTCTTGAGTCAATTTGGACTCACACTGAACCTTCACCAGGTTTCTGAGACTAAATCTTTATGGGAGGAAACTGGCAATCTTTGTCCCTTGGAGAAGCTAGAAGATTCAAACTCCCAACTTTCTGATTAGTCATCTGACATGTAATGTACTATACCACCAGGACTCCTTAAAAGGCTAGTGCAAACAGTGCCTAGCCAATAGTATGGGCTCAATAGATGCTTGCGGAATGAATGAATGAATGAACCCCCCACCACCCCCAGGCAATACCCACTTGATAGATTAACCACTAGAGATGAACGCGGACACATCCACCTACCTGCTGTAACAGTCCCCAAGGTGCCCACAGCTTTCTCTGAAGGCCTCTGTGAGCTCGGCCCTCTCGCCAGGCTCCAGCTGGTCGTCCATCAAGGCAGCTCTCACCAAGAGATGAGCCTCACTAAAGAGGTGGATGCAGCTCTGGGTTTTCACAGTCTTGTAGACGTTACTATAGTCGACCTAAAACAAAAAGGACAAATAACTAACGCCGCTGAGGAAAGAAGCCTCAAACGTTCCCACTTCTTAACAACATCGATTTCTTTTATTAGTAAAGTTAACATATTAAATCCTACAAATGAACAAACAGGACTATTTAACACTGTGACGCCTCTAACTGAAGTATTTTGAAATAAAAATGATAATTTTTTTCCATTTCTCTTTAGATAACTCTTTGCAAAAAGAAATGTTTCCTTTCCTAGCTGAAATATTTCCCCCCAAATCTATGACTAAGTTTGAGACTATATAAATACTAGCTATTAGAGAGGTTTGCATAATTCTCATAGAAGGTTCAAATAATATTGCAGTACCATTAGTACAGCAGTAATTGAATACAACTTGATAACGTTAATAAACAATATTTTAAATGCTAATCTTTTATAAAAAGTTTCATGATTCAAATCTTTCATCAAATTCAGACTTAGTACCCCTTTCCTTCTTTTTATTTCAAATGAGGATTTTGGGTTTAACAACATCTAACACAACAGTTCACATTGGGTTCAAATAATTTATCAGTAACTCATCCAAGGCAATTAGTGTACTTGGACTCCAGTTGTCAAACCAACTGGATGGAGTTTAAGACATTAAATTAAGGAAGATTAAAGAAAGGTTAGAATCAGAGTCAACACCAGCATCAAAATGCCAGAGATATACATCATGCAACACTTGACCAGATGATCAAAATTACTATCACTAACAAGGGGCAGAAAGATATCATTAGTCTCCAGATAAAATCCCCCAGGCCACGATATGACCTGTCCAGTATTCTGGCACAAACTGCATAGCATGAATCTTCTCTTTTAAAAAAAAAATCAGACAAGTTGAAGTTGAAGAGCATTCTTAAAGGAGAGAGAGAGAAGACGAAGAAGTGTTAATAATTAGTTTCTGAAAATGGCAGTATCATGAAATAGACTAAAGAGAAAAGCCAGTTAAAGCATTATCAAATCCTAGATGGCATCTTGAACTGAAGGGTGAAAAAAGGCCATAATGGGCTGACAAAAATGGCTTACGAATCAGATTAGAACTGTTATGAATTCTAAGTTTACTAAAGTTTATGATTTTCTGGGATTATACAAGATAGCATTTTGATTTTTAAGAAATACAAACTGAAATGGATCGGGGTGGGGAGGGAAGTGCATGTAAAGAAGAGGGAGCATGAAGTGAGAGCAAGAGCCAAAAGTCCTGGAGCAGAGGAGGCTGAATGCCGACCGTAAGGCACTGTATGGGGAACAGCCCAGGTGTACTACTCAGATTCTTGCAATGTTTCCTACCTTCACAACAAAGAGTTTCAAAACGTAACAGGATGAGTGGACAGCTGGGGTCATTAGAAAAAATCAGGATGCCCACTCTGGGCCTGCCCCCACAGAACAATGCTGCTTGCTGATGCCATAGCCAGGGACATCTAATACTTCAGGAAAAGGAAGAGTGAGGCAGGGGAAAGCAATTCAGGATCCTTCAGCCCCATTTCATGATTCTCTATGCTAGAGTTAAATGTAAAGGTCATAGATTATATATATTTAGATCAGCCAATTGGTTGATTCATCCCCACCCATGTACAAGCTGATCCTTTTAGGTAGGCAGTTATGAATAAGGACATCTTACTTTAGTGAAAAGAATTTCACTGGCTCCTTAACTGTCAAGAGCTGTAAAAACAACAAGGGGAAGAAAACCCCACAGCCTACTTTCAGACAGCGCCTGGAAGCTCTGTCCAGCTGTGGCATTCTGACCGTGTGAGGACTGAAAATCTATCACTGTACTTCAATTTCCCTCAAAATTTTTATAAGTAAGAATTAGAAGTTTGAAAGGAGTACCATTTCTTTGTAGAGCTGCACTGGAGATACTGTATTCACAACATATAAATTCCACCCCGCCTCTGCCAGAGGAGATGCTTTGAGTTTAACACTGGTATCTTTTCTAGAACTAAATGTAAAACAAAGGACAAGAATTTTAATTTTTAAGATACTACTATTATTGTTATTAATAAATTACAGCTTTAAATGACAAATACTGGATACCCTGCAATAATTAGAACCATGAAATAATTTACACTTAGTATTTCCTCCAGCAATTAACAAGACAGTTTACTTTCATAGAACTTTAGTTCACAAAACCACTCAGGCCTAGAGCATTTAATATTTTACAACATATCCTCACCTTTCCAAGCTTGATGTCCTTCTCCAAGGAATAGTCTCTCCTAGCAACATGCCCAAAGTATGTGAGACAAAACATCACCATCCTTGTCTCCAAGAAGCACTCTGGCTGTACTTTTCCCAAGACATATCTGTTTGTTCTTTTGGCAGTCCCTGGATTACTGCCTCTGAAAATGTGCTGGAGGATCACTTACGAGTTGGTTCTGTCTCGCCTCCCAGTTTTTTTTCTTGATTATATTTTCCTTAGGCACATAATCAGAATGCACTCCCTACCACTAAATTTTCACAGTACAGAGAATATCAAATAGAACTATTTGATATTATAGTTTATTCTAATCAATACGAAAGGGGAAAAAACCCAAGAGTTAACCAGAGATTGAGTATGAAAATTCCTTTGTAAGTAGACCAGCACATATCTATAGATCATGACTCTGTTTTAAGGTTAGTATTGCATTGTCAATATCCTTACCAGAAAGAAATTTCCGTTTTTTAAGTCTTTAATAGGTAGTAATCCTTGAAAGTCAAAGAAAAACGAAAAGCTTTTTCATGTGAATTGTTGTTGTTGATAAGAGTCATTTCCTCAAGTCAGAACCAACTCATAGCTTACTCTCCAGCAGGTTTTCAGAGGCAATAAATCACACAAGAAGAGACTGCCCTGGCGAGCTCTGATGGCCTAGTGGCATGAAGCTGCACTGCAATCCCAGAGGTGAACAGTTCAAATCCACCAGATGCTCTGCTGAAAAAGGAGGGACAATCTCCTTCTGTATCAGTCAGATGCAATTTCACGGCACACACACACAAATAGACACACACACACACACACACACACTAATTTAAAAAAAAAAAAAAGACTGTTCATCTTTCTCCCACAGAGCAGCTGTAAATTTGAACCTTAAGCCTTTGGGGTGGCAGCACAGCTTCTTATCACTAGGCCAATTCTTTCCCATTATTGTTCAGAAAAGCACATTCTTACATTGGCACTAAAATACTAAAGATTTTTTAACATATTTTGCAATATCCTTTGTTTTGAATGTTACAGATCAACTATGAAGAACGTTACAAAAATCTTAAATTAATTTAAAATATCCTTTGATTTCCTACTGCAGGAAAAGAGAAATGATCATTCCAGGTTTTTATTTTCAAACATGTACACCAAAAACAACAGGCACAATGATTCATTCCAGAAATGACACGGGGATGTCTGGGTATGAGAGATGCTTACAGAAGCCTTTTAGGAGATTCTTTTCTTTCTGGGATGACCTCAGGGTCTGCCTTGGTCAAAAGTATGAGGTGGTTTTTAAAGTGACAGATGGCTCTCAAGCCTATAAAAAGCTGTATTCTCAAAGCACAGACGTCCAGACTGATTGGTGGACAAGCCTAGCGAAAAAGAAATCGTAAAATTAAAAAAGAAATAAAATTATTTTGTCCTCACCCTTCGAAATGTAATCCAAATCCTCTAATTTTATCAGACTTCAGCAGCTACTGAGACCTATGTTACCAACCGTCTATTACTATTTCATCCATGACATCAGAGACCGCATGAACGCGGGCAGCAGCGAGGCCACAGAGCTGCAGGAACACCCTCACCCGCCCTAAGGGAGTGGGTCTGGCCCGCTCCTCCAGGAATGCAACCCTGGGTGCATACCCTGCAGAAATGCCCTCTAAACACAGTGACGCTCAAGTGGGGCTTCCAGGCAAAGCAGACTCTAGAACAGAACATTCTACACACACAATTCAATCCACTGCCACCGACTTGATTCCAACTCAGAGCTGACCCTCCACTGGTTTCCGAGGCTGTGAACCACGCCAACAAGGAGGGTGCCCATCATCCCCCCAGACAGCTGCTGGAAGATTCCAAGCTCCAGGCAAGTACAGCCTTCTGTGTTAGCAGCACCACTCACTACAGACTGCACAGCGAGAGCTCCCTCTACTGCCCACACAGCCCGTGAAGAGTCCCTCCTGGGTGTGTGCAAAAGGCAAGACTGCTTGTTCAGAGGGCCCTGCGTGAGAACAGTGGCCAGCACAAATGACAAACTGGCATTATCTCAGGAAGCCTTAATCGAGGGCGTTTCCATGGTCGTGCAGCTGGTTAAGCATTGGGCTGAGAACCAAAAGGTCTGAGTTCTGAATCCATCAACTCCAGCTCAGGAGAAAGGTACATGGCAGTTTGCTTCCATAAGGATCTCCAGCCTCGGAAACTCTTATCCATTAGTTGTATCATATCCCAGAAGATGGCGTGGAGTTGCTATTGGTGTCTCCCTCTATATCCATTAATTCAAGTCAAATGTTTATGAAAAATAATCAGATTGCACTTTCTGTGAATTCACCAAATTCTGTTGCCAAGGACCTGGTGTGTCCTTCACTCACACTGCTCTAAGATCATCTTCATTGTCCCCTTTTAATGAGTGGTTGGTGAAATACCTCTATCTACTTTTTCATTCAAGCTGCATTCAGAAGAGGCTATGGAACAAGGGATATCATTGCTGGTGTCAGATGGATCTTAGCTAAAAGCAGACAATACCAGAAAGATGTTTATTTGTGTTTCTCTCACTATATAAAGGCATTTAACTTTTGTCCATCATAATCAAGTACAGATAACACTGACAGGGGGAACTCAGAACAACCATGCAAAATGCGTACAGAGACCAAGAAGTCCTTGGGACAAAACAAGGTGATACCTCCTGGTTTAACACCTGAAAAGGTCCTTTTAATGAAGATGGCACTAAAAGTGAGGAAGGAAGCCCCTGCCCCTTTCAAAACTGAAGCCAAAGCAAAGGCGTTAAAGGCCAAGAAGGCGTCCTCAAGGGCATCCACAGCCACAAAAAAAAAAAAAAGATACGCACATCATCTATCCCCCTATGGACCAAGACACTGAGACTCAGAGCACAGCCCCAACACCCCCAGAAAAGCAACCCCAGGACATACAAGCTCGACCACCATGCCATCATCAAGTTTCCCCTGAAAAGTGAGTCAGAAGAAGAAGAAAATACACTTGTGTTCACTGTGGATGTGAAAGCCAACAAGCACAAAAAGCATTTAAAAAAAAGCGTAAAAAAGAAGCTCTATGACATTGATGTATGTGGCCAAGGTCAACACCTTGATCAGGAATGGAGAGAAAGCCTATGTTCAAACCTGCTCCTGACTATGATGTTTTGGATGTTGCCAACAAAATTGGGATCATCTAAAGTCAGTCCAGCTAGCTAATTCTAAATACAAGAATTCTGGACTGATGTATGGCAGGGTTATATTCTTTCTTCATACCTATTCACTATGTATGCAGAGCAAATAACTTCAGAAACCAGACTATATGAAGAAGAATGTAGCAGGTTTGGAGATTCATCAACATAACTGTATTCATAAAAATAATGCCATCTTACTTGCTGAAAGTGAGTTAAAACCTGAAGCATTTACTCATGATGATCAAGGTTGCCCGCTTTCAGTATAGATTACATCTCAACATCAAGAAAACAAAATTCCTCACAAATGGACCAACAGGCAACATCATGACAAATGGTGGAAAGAATCTCAATTATTTCATTTTACTTGGAGCCACAACCACCTGTGGGAGTAGCAGGAAAGAAATCAAAAGATCAAAGTAATAGGAAAATTCATTGTTAAGTACCTTTTTAAAGTGCTCCAGAGCAACAATGCCAGTTTAAGGAGTAAGGTGTGCCTGACTCAGTCACTTTTCAATTCATTCCTATTCCTGTGAAAGGTGGAAAATTAATAATAAAGACTAAAGGAGAATTAATGCCTTTGAATGTGGTGTTGGTGACGAGTACTGACCATACCGTGAACTATCAAAAGAAAAAACAAATCTGGTTTTTGGTTTTGTTTTTTTAACAAATCTGTTTGGGAGGAAGTTCAACCAGAGTGTTCCTTACAAGCAAAGACAACAAAACCTTGTCTCACATTCTTTGTACAGGTCTTTTTTTCTTGTTGTCTACCATCGAATTGGATCCGACTGGCATAGGAGGAGACTGACCCTCCTTCAGCAGAGCATCTGGTGGATTCAAACCACAGCCCTTTGGGATTGCAGTGCAGCTCCTTGCGATTAGGCCACCAGAGCTCACTCTTGTCTCACATTCTTCAGACATGTTATTGAGAGGCACCAGAGCTTGAAAAAAGATATTCTGCTGGGAAAAGCAAAAGGTCAATAAATGCAGACATGCAACTAGATAGACTGACAATGATGAATGCAATGATGAGCTTAAGACCAGACTGTGGTGCAAGACAAGGTTTCAGTCTGCTGTTCACAGCATAGTCCAAACTCCACCATCACCACCTGTGCAAAGTTCTATTTCTGAAGTCAAAGAAACAAAAACAACAAGGGAAAGTGTGGGGAGAAGAGATAAATTTTTAAAAAAAGCTTTTAATCTGTCATTTACATTTTTATAGTTAAATAAACCTAATTTTTAAAGCAAATCTATGTGTTTATCATAAACACAGAAGGATACAGGAAAACTGAGATTCATGTTTCCTTAAGTAATTTGACTGTGTGGATCACAAGAAATTGTGGCTAACCTTGAGGAGCATGGAAATCCCAGAACACTTGTGCTCATGTAAAACCTTTACTTGGACCAGGAAGCACTTCTCAGAACAGAGCAAGGGAACACTACATGGTTCAAAATCAGGAAAGGAGTGTATCAGGGATGTGTCCTGTCTCCATACTTTTTAAATCTATATGCAGAACAGATCATTCAAGAAGCTGGGCTTTATGAGACGGAATTTAACATCAGGGTTGAAGGAAGACTCATCAACAACCTACATTAGGCAGATGACACAACTTTGCTTGCTGGAACTGAGGAGAATCTGAAGCAGCTGCTGTAGAAAGTCAAGGACTGTGGTCTTCATTATGGACTGACACTCAACATCAAGAAGACAAAGATTCTCACTACTGCACCAACTGGCAGCATCATGACGGATGGAGAAGAGACTGAGGTTGTTCACTCAGCTCCATAATCAGCACTCTTGGCACCAACAGTAAAGAAATCAAAAGACGAACTGCACTGGGAAAATCTGCTGTCAGGGACCTCTCCAGAGTGCTGAGAAACAACGATGTCTGTCTACAGACGACGGTGCGCCTAGGACAAACCACGCTCTTTGCAATTACTTGCTATGTATCACAGTGCTGGACAATTACTAAGGATAACAGATGAATCAATGCCTTTGAACTGTGGTGCTGGAAAAAAGTCTTGAACATACCATGGACCGCCAGGAAAACAAACAGATCTGTCTTGGAGAGGTGAAACCAAGTTTCTCCTTGGAAGCTAGGATTTTGAAGCTGCATCTCATATACTCTGGGCATGTGGCCAGGAGGGGCCAGTCCCTGGAGAAGGACATTCCTGGAAGGGTGGAGGGACAGCACAGGAGAGGATGGAGTAGGTATGCTGGAGTCAGTGAAACTGGCTCAGGATAGGGTAGAACTCAGTCTTATTGTCCATAGGGTTATAAGTAGCAGGCAACTCAATGGCACATAAATAACAAGAAGGGTTAATAACAGATAGTGAGTCTAGTTTGCAACCAATTGGCACAGAGGGGCCATGGGAGGAAAGAGTACAGCAAACTCAGACCTTATGTTCCATAAAATGCTGTCACAATACTACCAGTCTGTGCAACTGTAACAGTGGCCGCATCCTTCACACACATTTACATACTACACAAACATCACTGGGACTGGCTGACTAATTTAAAATTAATTACTAACAACCATTTTTCTAAAAGAGAAGGACAGAAAAAAATACAACTGAGGAGAGTAGTCTGGCTCCGGCACCCACAATCTCTGACACTCATAACTTGGGGATTTCCAGCAGCATGCATATTCCTAAGAACATTCAACTAGTTTCTACTTGAGAAGTGAAACAGCATCCGATGAGCACTATGCAAATAATCAGTGTATTTCAGAGAACACCAATTCAACGTTAGAAAACATAGTGTTTCATCAGTAAGTAGCCTATACTTATTTTGTGGTCAAAAGGTTTACAGAAACTAAGTGCATTACTTCGAATTAAAATATGGTTCCTGATCTAGTAGATCCATCAATCTCTAGATAAAGATTACTGAAACTTGAAGGTGGAAGGAAGCAGCTTGTAAGTGGACTAAAAAATATATGCATATTTTAAAAAGTACAAAAATATTTATTTTAATGCCCTTTATTCAATTTTATGCTTCTGAACATACTTTCTGCACGGTTTTGTTAACAATTCTGAACAACTGCTATACAAATTTGTGTAAAAAAGACCGTTTTAGTTGGCTAGTACTCTTATAATGGAAGTAAGACTAATTGGTGGTTTTTAACAAATAGAAGTATGGTATATCTGGATTTCTTTGATATTAATGAAGTAGATCAGAGGTAGCTTTTTTTTTGTGTGCCGTCAGGTCAGATCTAACTGATACAGGAGGACACTGCCCCTCCTTCTCTAGCAGAGGAACTGGTGGATTTGAACCATGCACCTTTGGGATTGCAGTGCGGCTTCTTGCCACTAGGACACCAGAGCTCCCTTAGAGGCAGCTTTTAAATAGTTTTTAAACATAAATTCTCCATGATATGATCTGAGATATGGCATCCAATCAATTGTAAGGGGCTTCGAATTCAACTCACTTCATAGTCATCATCAAGTTAGAAATGCCTCTCAGCTTCCTGGCAGAATGCCCATCTCCCTTCTCCCTTGCAGCAGGTGAAGGCAGGTGAAGCCAAACCACCTGCCTTTGGGTGGGCAGTGCCAACTCTACACAGACTAGGCCTCGAGGGCTCCCTAAGGGGTTAGAGACTTAAACTCACAGCAACCTGCAGCAAGTTTCAAAGGCTGTAAATCGTAACAACAGAAAGTAATCTTTTTTCCTCAGAGCTAATGATGGATTCAAACCTCCAGAAACCAGGTGGCAGCTCAGCAACACACACAGTTCATGACCAGAACTCCCTCAGAGACCAGGACCAGATGCAAAACCCAGAAAGGCTCGTCACCATGATCTAAGGGGAGGTTCCTTGGAGTGTTATAAAATTTTACTATTACAAAAGATAAAAGGAAATAGGTGAACAGAGGGGGGGTTTGGGGGAGATGACTTCAGCACCACGAAGAAGAGCTGGCAACAGAAAGCATCATCTGGAGGCAGGTTCTTGAGCTGGGAAACCTCTGAGCCCTGACAGACAGGAAGCTGTTCGCTAGAAGCAGCACTCGGATTTTGGGTTCCTAGACTGTAAGATGCAAGAGAAATAGGCACAATCTCCTCCCATTCGGTTCACAGCCTCTGAAAACCCACTGAAGGATCGGCTATGAGTTGGTTCAACTTGATGGCAAAGGGATGTTCACATTCAGCCTGTAAGAGAATCCATTTGTCTTTAAAAGCCACCCACTTAAACAAATGGATTGAGAAATGATAGTACATTCACACAATGGAATACTATGCAGCACTCAGCAGCAATGATTTTATAAGTTATTACCTAGCTTGGGAGGAAATGGAGAACATTATGTTGAGTGAACCAACTCAGTCCCACAAGGACAAATATTGTATAAAACCAATACTGTAGAACAAGTATAAGGATCCGGGGGTAGGGGGTGGAGTAGTGGAAACAGAGGGGTGAGGATGAGAAGCGGGGAGATTAATCAAGGGGGTTGTAAAACCTGATGGGTGATGGCGTGAGGGAAATTGGAAGAATCTGTTCTAGAAAACAATGTATTTGAATTTCATAAATAAACTAGTATAATAATAATAATAATTTTTTAAAAAGCCATTTGCTTGTCTGATAACTAAGGCACTGATTGTGCCAAATTTTCTGGTGGTCCAGCTACAGTACTGTAGTAACCAGGATTTGCAAGACTGTATCAGTTACTTTTTTTGAGAATAAAATTGTAACTAGGAGAAAGTAGAGCCATTTTAAGTATTAATAATGTAAGCATATCTAGAAAATTCATTCATAATATTGCAATTTAATATAAAAAATATTAAATTTTTTTGTTACTATTCATATAATCTAAGAAATATTAATTCAAGTAATTTGTAACTACCACACATTGTCACTGTTTTTAAGTATGTCAAGTATGACCAGTCAATGATAAAAATCAATAAACATCATTAGGCTTCGTTGGCAATACTGCTGTTTTAAGGAGCCATAATTCAACTCACGACAAATGCACCAGATTCATAACCTGCTTTCTCTTAAGTTACACTATCTGTATTTTTTTACCAAGCTTCAAAAATTAAATGTCTGTGAAATCACCTTTAAAGTAAACAACAGTTTAGCCAAAGAATAAAAAACTGTCATGTTAAAAAACAGTTCCTTAAAAAAAAAACAAAACAAAAAACCAAAAGCACACAACAAAAAAACCAAAAACACAACAGCAGTAAACCAAACAACAAAAACCCACACAAACAAAAGAAAAAGTATCTATATAAAAGAGTCAACGTCTATTTTAAAATACAGATTTGGGGGGGAGGCAGTCAAAAAGATCCAAGATACTACAAAAACAAAAATAAAATGGCTGAAATAAGAAACATCGCTGCAAATAAACCAGAATCCACTGGAAAAAATAAAAATAAAAATTGCCACAATATGGAGAATGCAACTGTTATTGATAATACAGGAATGGGATTTTTCTGCTATGTATATTTTCATCAATATATATGAAAACATTTTTCATCACTTAAAAATATAAAGTATTTTAAACACATACACAAAATTCTTATATACTAAATTTTATCTGGTGTTTTCAAAATAATCTTTAAAACTGCCACATAAACCATGAATCACAAAATGCTTCATTTTTACATTCATAATTTCTAAGTTCAGTAAGTAAGACAATCTTAAGATCTTTAATTAGGAAGCCCTGGTGACAGTGCTAAACGTGGGCTGCTAACTTAAAGGCTAGCAGTTCGAATCCACCAGCTGCCAGCCTTAGAAAGGCAATGCTGGGTCTGCATGCACTCTGGCAGCGGGCAGAGGGGAGAATCCTTAATATTGAACAAGCTTAGGCCGAAGGACCCATGCGCAAGGATCCCTGTGTTCCTGTTTTGTCTTGAGGTTTCCTAAGCAGCGACGCCTGGCTCTGACCTTCAGGGTGGTGTCCACGTAGGGGTCCTCCTCTCGAGCTGCGGCTGCACTGCAGCGCACAGTGAAGCACTGCAGGTTGTTCCTGAAGAAGAGGAGACACTGAGCTGAGCAGGAGCCAGTAACCAGCAGGCCACGCCGGGGAGCTCTCATGGGCCATCAGCACAGGGGCGGGTCATGACAGTACACAGACACAGTGACACGCTCACAGTTCTAAGTCTAAAGGAAGAGACTAGCACTCTTAGGACGGAAGCTGCACGTAAGAAACGCTGAGAAGGTAAGGAACCAAAAAACACACCTGCAGTGGGATGATGACAGTTGAGGGGACTTTCAGAGTAGAGGAATTCATAAAGAAGGTCCCTGAAAATTATTAAAAGAAAATAAAAGAAGGTCCCTGGCTAACTGCCACTCACACTAATCCAGCAGCAAGATACGGGAATATTAGGTGTGTGGAAAGCTGTCCAAGACATTGCTACATGAAACAGCAAGTTGCTAAACAGTACCACTCACTTCTGTAAAAATAAAACGACAATATAATAGGACATGTAATTTTTTTTTTTAAATTTTATTATTTTTGTGTGTATGCCATCAAATTGGATCTGACTGGCACAGGAACTTGCCCCTCCTTCTCCAGCACAGCATCTGGTGGATTTGAAGTGCATACCTCTGGGATTGCAATGCGGCTTCTTGCCACTAGGCTCCCAGAACTTCCTACATGTATTTTTTAAAATGTTTTCATTATATGCATCAATCTGTTCAACTAGTTGACTCTGGAGAGTGAAATCAAGGGTCTAGATATTCCTTTCTAATGAAGACTGTTTTGTGTCTTTACTTTCCCCTGGACAAAGAAGGGAAATGTCCCACCAACTGTCAGCCTTGGAAATCCAACGGAGGGTCAGCTCTGAATCAGTTCTGACACCAGGTCAGTGAGGAAGTTGGTTCTAACTAGATGGTAATGAGTTTTTCCTATGAGTAAAACAAAACTCCGCTGTTCCCTCTGCCTTAATCTTTAGTCACATATTTGCAAAACATTCCCTCAGACCTATGGAATTCATACTCCAAATTCAATGTCTAAACCAAACTTTTCCCCACATTAAAACAACTTCTATTCTTTAAAAACAGTTCAAAATCCATGGTAGGGTTATTGATACCCACTCCATCTGTTATGTCTTTAGGACACTTTCCTGAAACTCTCCCTCAGAAACTTCTCCCACCCACCCAACCTTCTTTCTCCTCATAGTACCACTGTCCTGTCCACACAGCAGCGAAAACCAAATCCACCACGGTTGAATCAATCCCAGTTCATGGGCAGCCCCCATTGGGTTTCTGAGACCATAAATCTTCACAGGAGGAGACTGACTGTTATCTTTCTCTCACTGAGCAGCTGGGAGATGAAGACCACCAACCTTGCAGACAGCAGTACAACATTCTATACGACCAGAGCTCCTTGGGCCAAATACAAACAGAACTACATCACTCTGACCTCATCCATTTCAAGAACTTATTTATCTCTCCACGTGCAATCTGTCTTCCATAATGGCCACCACCACCAATTTTAGTAAAGCTCTGACTGCATCCTTGTTTAGAACCTTCAAAATTCCTCTGGTTTACTGTGATGGCTGCTCAACAAGGTGCATGTAACTAATGTCACCGGTGTGTGTTTCTATAAAAAGAGTTTACATAACAAGAATACTATTATAGCTATCTGATTCTATAGATTTATCTGCTGTTGTTGTGGGCTGTCAAGTCAGAACCAACCCATAGATGACCCTCTCACAGGTTTTCAGGAGCAGAAGGCCCATCCTTCTTTCTCGGAGCAGCTGTTGAATTATAACAAATTCAAATTGTGACAAAGCTGCACAGCTTCTTAGCACTGGGCCACAAGAACTCTATATATGATATATCTAGACATATATATGAGACGTATCTAGACACAGACATGGGATATATCTAGACATAGATACGGGATATATAGACATAGATATAGGCTATATCTAGACATATATATATATACATATATATATGAAGATGACAAGATATATATCAACGTATTCTAAACAACATGCCCCTGGAAACTCTGAACTTTGATAAATGATGATAGTTATTCAAAGTCTTCAGGCCTTTTATTCACAGGGTGGCTAAGAGTCATGCTTGACTCAACAACAAACAACAACAACAAATCTCAAATACAGAAAGAGACATCTTTATGTACATATATTTATACATTAAAAATGACAGATCCTTAAGTCTTATTTCTAAAGCCCTGACCTTACAACCACTTCTCTTCAGCTTCTTCACAGTGAAACCACCACTAAAGTGTGAAGTTAGCTCCATGCTGTTTACATAAGCAATAAACCCCCATCAGGCGCACCTTTCTTTACATCAGGGGGAGGAGGGGTAGGGAACACTGCATTAGAAGTGCTGAGTGTCTACACTAGTCAGGCACACTTTGGAATATACTTTGGTGCTTACCAGAGATTCTAAAATGATCACTAGGTTGGAAAAAAAAATCACTATCCTATGCAATCATCAGACGATCCAGTTTAAAGCTGGGCCATGACCTTGGCTTCTAGTCTTCCTTTCTCTTCCAATCCTCATCTGTCCAAATGCTTACATTCATGTCTCACTTCAAACACAGCCTGCAACTTTCCCAAATGACTCAGCCACAAGTTATTTCTCTCCTTTCAGTGGCTACTCCACCGTCATGATCCCTTAAGACGTTTTTCACAAATCCCCTGGTGTTTAGCACCCTTGTGTCTTTGGCCTTCTCTTCTGTTACTGCTTTTGAAGGCAGATGATAGTGTCTTATTCATGTTTAGTAGGCTGAAGGGCCCAATGCAGGACCCAGAACAAAATCTAAGCTGGGGAAAAAAAGCCAAACTGAAAATAGAACTAAGAACTAAAACCATTGTAATGGTGACTTGAAAGAAAGGGAAATAAAATCTCTACTCAGAAATGTCGTTTACATGCCTGCATACAAGGGTAAGGAGAAATCACACGAGTCACTAACGAGCTACATGACTATGGTGCATCCTAACTCTTCTGTGGCTATTTTCCGTCTCTGCCAACCGTGGCGTATAATCATATATTTATGTTGTCTTTTTCCACTATGAATGAACTAACTTGATCCACATTTAAGTATATCGGAGAAGGGGGGGAAAAAAATCCAACAAAATGGAAAATATCAAAAGAATCTGAATAGATATCCTCCTGACTGGCTACAGACACTATTTTTTTAGGATTTCTTATGAAAACATCCCATTGTTACTTCCTCAAAAAGATTCCCATCTAATCTAACAACAAAAAGCACCTTGAAATAAAAATCAAAAGCCAGGTATGCAATAACATCGAGCATTGATGTCAAGTGCAATATACTGTGCCACACAGCTCTTTCCTCATTTCTGGGCAACACCTCAGGAACTTACAGGACAGTAACCGGCTTGAGAACCAGCAGGTGAAACTGTACCTTGTGATGACGTGCAGGAACTGAGGTGTAAGCACAGCCTGCTGAGACTTCTCCGGGTACTGGTAGACAGACATTAACTCCACAGATTTGACGACCATGTAGAGATAGCCCACGTGAGGTAATGAGAAAAAACAAAAGAGACTCAGCAACTCTTTTTCCTGAGATGAATTTTTTCCATTAGAAGTAAGAGAACCTGCATTCAAAAAAGAAAAAAAACTTTGAAAATCAGTAAAGGGAAATAATCAACAGCTTGCCTTCTCTATGAAAATTGCCTCAGTGGGTAAGCAAATAGTTGTTAAAGTTGTTCTTTCTAGAACACAGCCAGTAATAAATAAAGAGGCAATGACGTATGAGAAAGGACCTCTTTGCAGTGCTTACTTAACAAATCAGGACACCTAGGAAGGGCACATCAAAGGCTGTTAACATCACAAACAGGATACAACTAAACATGGTGTGCCTCCCAACAGAAGTGAATATAATCTGCATTATCAAAAAGCAATTATACAGAACAAAAATGTAATAAAGCTTGAATCTAGACCAATGTTATCAACAGAAATATATGAGCAAAGGATGTCAGTGAAAAGATCCTAAAAATAGTATTTTTTAAAACATAAAAAGGAAACAGATGATATTTTAATAACATATTGCGCTAATTTAATATATCCACACTATTGCCACACCAATGAATACGAAAAAGTAGTAAGAAGGGAGTTCCAGTGGCCTAGTGACAAGAAGCTGTGCTGCAATCCCAAAGGCACGCAGTTCAAAGCCACCAGATGCTTTGCTGGAATAGGAGGGGCAATCTCTTCCTGTGCCAGTTGGATCCAATTCCATGGTATACAACAAGGAAAAAGGGGGGAGCAAAGTAGTAAGAGCTTTCTTATATTCTTTTTCATTCAAGTCTTCACAATTCTGTGTATTCTGAAGACATAACAACCAATTATATGAACTTAATTCAAATAAATGAAGTTTTTTAGTCAACTCAGGGAATTTGGTATCTGTCTTGCAGAGGGTGAAAACAAGTTTCTCCTTGGAGGCGAGGATTTTGAAGCTCTGTTTCACATACTTTGAGCATGTGGCCAGGTGTGACCAGTCCTTGGAAAAGGACATCATCCCTTGGTAAAGAGACAATGCAGGAGAAGACGAACTCGGGTGAGATGGATTGATACTTGGGCAAAGAGGGGGTGTGTGTCAGAATTACTGAGACTGGCTCAGGATAAGGCAGGGTTCAGAGGTACTGTACACAGGCTTGCTATGGGTGGCAAGGACTCCAGGGAACATAACAAGATTTTAAGTTGTATAACTATGGTTGATTGTTTATTATTTAAGTATCTTGTTTAGAGTCAACAGAACCTAGTGGAAGGCCTTTGTATTTCAAAGTCAGTTGGGCCCCAAGGGCCTGTGACCCTGACCCTAGTGTTATTTTGGAAGAACATTCTTCTAAAGTGGTATGGCACTGGTCCGTCAATTTGTTATACAGAGATAAACTGGGGTTATTGTGATGATGAACCCTATACAATGTCAGGTGTGTCAAATGCCATGTTACCCATGGTGGACAGTGTTTAGTGGAGCTCTCAGTTTAAGACAGGTTTGGAAGTAGGAGTGGCATTCACTTCCTAAATAACATGCCTTTGGAAACTCTGTGAATTTAGAGAAATGACTAAATAGTTATAAAACAGGCTTAAGCTCTTTTCTACATAGATTTGCTATGTCGTGCTAGACTCGACGGCAACCAACAACAACAAACAATATCTAGTTCAATATTCAAAGTCTGTGGGGTTTTTGACATTTAAAACAGTATTATGGAAAAGAATTCTCCTTTTTAGAGAGATCTACGGAAATATTTATTGACAAAGATGGTCATAATACAACACTGGTGAAGTTATGCAACAGGCACAAGGGCTTCAAGGTACTATTTTCTCTGTATGTACATATGTTCAAAATTTTCCCACTATCAACATTTACAAAACAGGATGAAAGGACATTCATTGATAAAGGAAGAAAGTCTAACTCTCCACAACTGGCCAGAAGAAACATCTATTTCCTCTCCTATACACGTTAGCCAAACAGACAGTTACTAATCCCCTAACACACAAGACGATTTACACCTTATTATATATACAGGTTCCTCCTGGTAATATCTTGCTGAAATCTCCCCTTCTAAAAACTCTAATCCAGTAGGGCCCAACTCAAATCAGGTACTAATGATCCCTTCACTTGTGTGTTCAGCACACAGTCAAGTTCCTGCCAAATGCCACAGTTCTAGACAAGGCAACTGCTTCCACAGAGCTTCTGGTCCAGTGGCAGGGAACACTCAAAGCAATTCCAACGTGCAGAAGAGGGGGTGAGTGAGTATTCTAAACAGGTCAGGCAAGTCCTCTGTGCTGAGGCTTCATCTGAGCTGTGAGTCAAATGACTAAAAGCAGCCAGCAACTTGAAATCTGAGGCAAGTATGTCCCAAGCACAGGAAGGGCAAATAACAAGCCCTTAAACAGAGTGCACTTGACAGAACTGAGCAGCAGAGAAAAGCCACTTAGATTAAGGTCACGTAGGCCATGGAAAAGATTTGTAATTTTATTTCAAGTGCTATGAAAAACCAATGGAGAGCTTTAAGCACCAATCTAGGACTTAAAAAGAACACTGGCTGCTGCACAGAGAACAGATTACAGGGAGCAGTGGCAGAAGCATAAAGTTCCCTCATCTTTGTTCTGGTTCTGGGGGAGCTGTCACCACTTCCTCTGTGGAGACAGAGGCTTCTCCACCCAGCAGTCTCTTACAGGCAGCCCTCCATGTGGTAAGGTACAGGACTCCCCCTACTCCCCTCTATCTTCCAAGGCACAGGACCAGGTAAACAAAGTACTCCCTCTCACAATAAGCAGGATGAAGAGCCATTACAATTTCTAAAGATAACATCATTCCTGCTTTCTATACTGAAGCTGTCACCAAAAATCTGCATGCTAAATCCTTCTTGAGAAAGAATCATTTGGCTGCTGCTTCAACTCTTTCTCATTTTATAAGTCAAGCTTTTCCAACATCCTAGACAAGTGTTAGACAATTCTCCATCACACTAATGAGACTCAACGTCCTGGAAGGGTCCCACTTAGGGTCCCGGTACCTTTCTCAACCGACACGCCCGATTTCTCTCCTGCACGGCAGACCACTCATTCATCCAGGCAGAATCCTAACAGTCCTCCAGCCCTTCCTACAGAAGCACAGTGTGAGCATTCGCTCCATTCTGCACACGTTCCCTGTGCACATTTGAAAATCTACAAAAATTCAGACTCATTCTCCCCACTGGGCCATGGACCATGACAGATGCAGAGGAAACTGAGGTTCTTAACAATTTCAACTTGTTCGACTCCACAATCAGCAGTCTTGGCACCAGCAACCAGGAAATTAAAAGACTAATTGTATTGGGAAAGTCTGCTGTCAGAGACCTCACCAGAGTACTAAAGAGCAACGTTGTCACTCTGGAGACAAAGGTGCGCCTGATACAATCGCTTGCTATACATCAGAGAGCTGAACAATGACTAGGAAGGATAGGAGAATTAATGTCTTTGAGCTATGGTGTTAGAGAAGAGTATTGAATGTACCATGGAATACTAAGAGAACAAACAGGTTTGACCTGGAGAGGGTGAAAGCAGGCTACTCCTTGGAGGCAAGGATTCTGAAGCTTCGTCTGACATACTTTGGACATGTTGCAAGGAGGGACCAGTCCTTGGAGAGGAATGTCATGCTTGGGAGGGTGGAAGGACAGTGCAGGAGAGGAAGACCCTCAGTGAGATGGATTGATTCAGTGACTTGAGTAATGGGAGTAGATGTGACAAAGACAGTGAGATTGGCACAGGATAGAGCAGGGTTTAGGGCTGTTGTACATAGGCAACTCGAGGGCACTTAACAACAACATTATTCAGTATTGAATGTAGTGGAGGAGGTCATTCATTGTCAAGCCTGTAAGTCTCACCTTTGTGCTAGTTTGGAACACCTTTTTTTGTTTGTGAACATGTCTTTAATAGTTGAAATACTTTTCTTCTTTTTGGTTGAATAGTAGGCTCCAAGTTTAGAGTGTTGGCTGGCAACCTATCTTACTAGAATTTAAGATGACTTTTTACTTCTCTTTTTTAATAATTTTAAGTCATTCATTGTACATACCTTCTTTCTTCCCCTTTTTCTCCCCCTCCGCCAGTCCTCTTTGCAATGTACCTCTTGTTCCAGATTCTTGTAATACGATTCTTTACTTTTTGAGGGATTTTTATGATTCTCCCATGTTTATACAAAATGCCTAGTATTTCCACCCATGATAAGTGTGTAAATGGAAGCATGTCTATTAAAAATACTGATTTAAGGAAAAAAAAATAGTAGTAAAGATAGTACATGAATGTTGAAAAACATGAAAATATATGAGGATAACAGAAGCTTGAGAAACATTTAATGTGTCGCATAGTAAGAGGATTTACTGTAGTTCCTGTTTTTAAATACCTGAGGTATTTTAGCTGCTGGGTGGCTTTGTGGAAGTTGCAGCCAGGAAAATGATTTCAATTTCTTTTCGTGGTAGAATAATACTTAAATCAAAGCAGGTACCTTGTATGCAGTGTGGGCTGGTTATCTCTAGTTGCTGTCTTTTTGAAATCTTTATAAAATTTGGGAACTGTAGTAGCCTGTTCTGTAGGGAGTTGTGCTTCTAACCAGAAGTGGCACCTCTTGTAATTCAAACCCACCCGCAACTGCAAGAGAAGGATGAATAGACTCCACTCATGTGATTTATGGCCTCAGAAACCCAGTGGAGAGGTACCATGATTTAGTTCTGACTCATTGGTAATGTTAGGTGCCATCGAGTTGTGTGCAACTCATAGTGACCCTAAGTACAACAGCTCTGAAGCCTGCCCTGTCCTGAGCTGGTCTCACTGACTCCGACATGCCTGTCCCCATTGTCCCAGTTACTGTGTCGCTCCATCTCATCTGGGGTCTTCCTCTCCTGTGCTGTCCCTCCACCATTCGATGTCCTTCTCCAAGGATCTGTCCCTCCTGTCCACATGCCCAAAGTATATGAGATGGAGCTTCACAATCTTTGCCTTCAAGAAGAAACTTGTTTTACCCTCTCCAAGATAGACCTATTTGTTTTCTTGGTGGTCCATGGAATGTTCAAGACTCTATTCCAGCACCACAATTCAAAGGCATTGTTTCCTCTTCTTTCATCCTTAGTCATCATTATCCAGCTCTCTGATGCATAGCAAGTAATTGCAAAGACCATACCCTGTATCAGGTACACCCTAGTCTCTAGACTGTCATTGTTGCTTCTCAATACTCTGGAGAGGTCCCTGACAGCAGATTGTCCCAGTGCAATTAATTTTTTGCTTTCCTGACTGCTGGTGCCAAGACTGCTGATTGTGGAGCCAACCAAACTAAAGCTGTGAACAATCTCAAACTCATCATCATCTATCATAATGCTGCCAATCGGCACAGTGGTGAGAATCTTTGTTTTCTTGATATTGAGCCTCAACCCATATTGAAGGCTGCAGTCCTCGACCTTTTGCAACAAGCGTTATAGGTCCTTCTCAGTTTTAGCAAGCAGGGTTGTGTCATCTGCATAATACAGAGTGGTGATGAATCTTCCACCAATCCTGATGCCACAATTCTCCTCTTAAGAGCGCAGCCTCCCAGATAATATGTTCTAAGCCAGACTTTTAGAGATCCTGTCATCTGCTGCTGGACAGAATACTTGTTGGTTGTCTGTTTATTCTAGATGCTTTCTTTGCATGACAACTAGAGCAATTTTACTGTGAAAGCAAATCAGATATTGCCCTGGCTCTCCTAATCATCAAACTCCAACACACACACACTTCATTCCTTTTCACAAACACAACAGCACTACCTCCCTCCTCTAATATACAGATACGCAAAAAAATAACATCACTACCCACTGCGCACAGTGCACACACACCTTGGTACCACGCAGTGTCCGCACTGCTCTTCACGTACAAGGTTCTGAAGCAAAGGCCGTCTCTCGGCACTCTCCTCCCTCGCTCCACTGTCCCTGGTCTTGCAGGTCTCAGTTCCTCATACAGAACACCCTCCTTCCTTGACAGAACTCAGGTTGCTTCCTCTGTGTGGCAAGCTGTCTCCATCGCCCCCACACAAGTTCCCACTCCCGAGTTAGCCCTAATTCAGACCCACTTCCTAAGAACCCTTCCTGGACCCCAAGATGAGCCCAGGATCTTTTGTTTATGGTGCTCACAGAGCAGGCAGCAAGTGACTATATAAGCATATATTCCCTCACACTTTTTTTCTATTTAGATCCCTTCTCTCCACTAGAAGGAAACTGAAGGCCAGTGGTCAAGCGCTCTGCCGCTGGTCACAAGGTGCAAACCCACTACCTGCTCTGCAGAGGGCGAAGCTGTGGCACTAAGCTCGGGAAAGGATTACTGTCTCGGATGCCACACAGGGCAGTTCCACTGTCTCCTTCGGGGCCAGTATGAGTCAGCACTGCCTTTACATCAGGAGGTCTGGTTTCAGGTTTAGCTATGACTACAAAAGACTGGAGCACATCAAAGACTGAGAGGATGGGGTAGGGTGGTCCAAGGTTCAGATCTGTGGTTCACGGGGTTGCTATGAGTTACAGTCAACTTGATGGCAGCTAACAATAATTCCAGACAAGATATAAAGCAGCGCAGGCTCAGGAAAAACCTACATGAAACCCAGCGGGGGAGAATCAGAGACTTCCTAGAGGAGGTGGTGGCTGCTTTGTACCGGGAAGTCTGAACAGACCCATGGTTGACCCTCCAGCAGGTTTTCAGAGGCAGTAAATCACACAGGAGACTGCCCATTTTCTCTCATGGAGCAGTTGGTGGATTCAAATGGTGTACTTGACATTGGTAATGCTCTGTGTGCAAGTGTGGACGGCAGCTGAGAGATAGTAAAACAGAGGCTCTTCTGATTAGGGTCATCCAATAGGTCATGTCCCAAGACAGCAATGATGATGTGGCCATTCTTCCACTGAATGGTCCTATGTGAGAAGAGGCCTCTGGTCTATCTCATGTCCTGAGCTACAGGCCAATCCCAAAGGTGTGCAGTTCGTATCCACCAGCTGCTCCATGGAGGATGGGTAATAGCCTCTCATACGATGTGCTACCTCTGCACACTCACTAGAGGGTAAGCAATGGTTCAGTTCTGACTTGACGGCACACAACAGAGCAAAGGCCCAGGGTACAAGGACTCTGCCTACTTTTGCTCATAACTGGTTTCCTGGTAGTCAATACAGCACTCAAAATTATAGTTACCAAACAATTATTTGTTAATGAATAAATAGGGTTACAAACATTAAATCAGATTGAAATGATATTGTTTCTCTAGGAAACCTCTAAAAATGTTAAGCAGAAAAGGACTAAGGACAGGGCCCATTGCTGCTTTTCAAACCTGGCTGTCCGTTAGGCTCGCCCAGGTATGTGAGAATCTCTAGCACACGGCGTCTGTGCACAAGTATTTGTAAAAGCCTGAGGGTGACAATCACAACTTTGAATAAATTTCTGTTCAGTCCACATTCTCGGACCTTGCTCACAGTGCCATCACAGTGTTCTGCAAAATACCCAGCTGAAATGCAGATAAACAACAGCTCCAATTTCCCTTTCAGAGCCCAATGACCCCTTCCAGACGGGGTATGATTTTTGTCTGTCATACCTTTTCCCCAGCCTCTCCCTACAGATATGACTGGCCTTCATTGTGCCTACACAGGTCTGCTGAAGGACTGGGGGGGGGAGGCAGAGCAGACACCATAATTGGCAGGACTAAGGGAGCTCTGTAGCACGGACTTGAAGCTTCAAGTGTGCTGTCCTGACTTAAAAACTGTGTCCTTGAAGAAATGCCGTAATTATGAATGAGGTTCTTGGTTCTTGTCCAAATTCACAGGGAGGCTCAGTCGAAGAGCCAGACTCAGTGTCCACGATGGTACCCACTCCCAGGCAGAGCCTCTTCCCCCCTCCCCCACACAGCAGCACTGGCAGCCTCACCTGTGTGGTAAATGGGGAGCAGCTGAAGGGAATGCAATCTGATATCATCAGACAACACATAGGGTGAAATATCAGGAGTAAAGCGTCTGTGGATGAAAAAGAGGGAAGGGGGGTGAACTTATCTCCATGCGTTTTCACCAAGTAAACATACATTAAACACTGACACATAAAAAGCCTGTAGATACCGGTAGAGCAAATGCTGGACATGGAAATACTGCATTTTTTCATCAGTTACTCCCGTTGACTCTAGTGTAACAGATATTCCAGACTGCTGGCTTTTTTCACCAAGAAGTTCCAGGGGCTTCTGGCACATAACAAAGTCGTCAGCCTCAAGCTGGGAAGAGTCATAACTGATGACTTAAAGAAAAAAAAATTAAGTTTAACGTCAAGTTCTACTAACTTCTTGAATGAAACATAGGAGTCAGAGCAGAGCATCCTCCATCAATTAAACAGACACATTCATTCATACAGCAGGTTGGAAACACACCCAGCAACATCTCCTGTATTTACAAGGCACTGTACTTCTCCCTGCCGCTCCAAGGGAGAGAGAAGGTCATTTCCTCCCCTGAGATTTACAGCTTCAGAAACTCAATGGAAGGTAAGCTTTGAGTGGGTTCCAACTTCACAGTAAGGACCTGACAGTTTTGAAAAATGTTAATTGTCATCAATTCTTCACAATAAACTAATACAGGTTAGGTATCCTCATGCTCATTTTGTAGATGAGGAAAATTAAGCTCACTGGTAGGGTTAACTGACAAATGCAGAAATGTCTTTTTATGTGCTATGGAATAAAATCTACATAGCCAGGTAATAAATCCAAATCCTGTACTGCAGGAGTAATAAATGAATCTATACTATGGCTTAGAATCCTGCATTCAGAGGGAGCCTTTCAAAGATCCTAAGAGGTAAGGATTTTTTTCCTCTACACATAAACAAGAAAACAAATTAAACTTCACATCATTTACCTTCTTGTGTCTTTTTCACTGGAGTGTTGGTCTTCCGGGGATGGTGGTTCACAGTCTCATCATTTTTAGGGTTGGAGTCTAGTTTTAGGATTAAGACTTCTAAATCCGACATAACAGCAACATAACCAGCACAGAAAGAAATTTCTACGGGGGTGATATTCTCTACATGAATAATTAATGAGCGTTCAAAGTCCAGTATTGAGAATTCCTCAGTAATGACCTGGTAGGTCAAACTAAACAAGACTAACTTATTTGTTTAACCAACAAGAAGGTCTCCTTTCACAGGGCAACAGGAAACGCATAAGGGGGCTTCGGAGAGGGGCATTTCGATGATGGACATCTGGTCTCTGAAGGTTTCACAGAAGGGGGCCTCCACATTGTGCCCCACCATTCGGACACACACACGAGAGGTTTCAGTCCTTTTACTTCTCCAGTTCACATAGGCACGAAGAAATGTAGCTTTGTTTTTCTCTTCAATTGCCACCAAATAGTCTCCTGCAAAGGAAAATTATCATTAGAATTTCGAAATTGACATTTAACCTCCACCTTGCTGCCATGGAAAGGGTTTATCAGCAGACAGGAATCCTAGGGAGCCCTGGTGGCTTAGTGGTAAGAAGTTGCACTATCAGCTCAAAGGCTCACACAATTTGCTGCCCCTGAGAACCTGCCAGCAGGCCAGCTATGAGTCAGTTCTGACTCAATGGACATAACAGGAACCCTAGAATGAACTCCCCAATCAAAGGGTTAGAAGGACAAAACTCTCACGGGATCTCAGTTATTAGCAGTTCTAACTGGCATTAGGCATTTATAATCTGCAATATAATACACTCTTATTTTAGAGTCTTAAACTATTAACTCCTTGTATGGCTTACACAGAAACGCTACATTGCCTGGCACCACCCTCGGAATTGCTGATATGCTTGAGCCCACAGTTGCACCTACTTTGTTCAGACCCTAATTATCATTGTTAGGTGCTGCTGAGTCGACTCATAGATATACTATGAAAAACAGATCTGCACCTTGCCCTCTTTTCTATGCCACCTTCATCATCTCTGATATGCCTGAGCCTATTGTTAGTTGCTGTGTGGATCCACCTTTTTGAGGGTCTTTTTCTCCACTGCCAATCCTCAACCTTTTTTTATAAACATGTTATCTTTTTCCAAACTGGTTGTTACTGTTAAATGCAAACCTCCAGAAACAGTAAATCACGCGGAAGGAGATGGCCCATCATTTTGTGGAGTGCAGCTTGCTGGATTAGAACTGTGTGCCTTTGGGAATGCAGCACAGCTTCTTACATCTATTGCTGTTGCTAGGTGCAACTCATAACAACCCTATGAACCAGACCTGAATCCTGCCCTTTCCTGTGCAATCCTCATCATCTCTGATACACTTGAGTCCACTGCTGCAGTCACTGTGTCAATCCACCTCCTTGGGGGGGGGGGGTCTTCCTCTCTTTTGCTGACCCTCAAACTTTCTAAGCATGATGTCCCTTTCCAAGGAAGAGCCTCTCCTAGCAAAATGTTCAAAGTATGAAAGTCAGAGTTTTGTCATCTTTGCCTCCAAGGAACATTCTGCCTGCACTTTTTTCAAGACATTTTTCTTTGCTCATGGATACTCAGTACTCTTCTCTAACACCACAACTCAAAGGCATCCTTATTCACCATCCAGATCTCAGATGTATAGCAAGCAGGTGATTGAAAAAACCACTATCTGAATCAGGTACACTTAGTCTTCAAGCTGACATCATTGCTCTTAAGGATTTTGGAGAAGTCTCTGACAGTGGCCTTGCCCACAGCAATGTCTGCTATCTCCTGGCTGCTGGTGCCAAAGATGCTGATGATCCAACCAGGATGAAATCAGTGACAGCTTCAAACCTTTCTCTATGTATCATGATATTATCTATTGGCACCATAATGAAGACCTTTGATTTAGTAATGTTAAGGGAGCTCTGGTGGCCTAGTGGCAAGAAGCTGTGCTGCAATCCCAAAGGCACATGGTTCAAGGCTGCTCCACGGGAGAAGGATGAGCAATCTCCTCCCATGTGATTCATTACCTCTGAAAACTCACTGGAGGGTCAGCTATGGTTGGTTCCAACTCAAAGGTACACAACATGGTAGGGCAATCCATACTAAAGACTAGGCCACCAGAATTTCATATTACCAGTGTTGGGGAATGTTGGGGAGGAAAGGAGAGCCTCTGGCCAGGACAGATCACCTAGCTCTAGTTAAGTCACAACCTGGGAAGATGGCTGCTACATCTGTTGAACTGGGAGTAGTCCGCATGAGGCTGAGGTTCTCCTGACCAAGCTGCATGTCCCATGTCTGTAAGCCTACCCTGTGCTGTTTTCCTGTTTCTTGCTCATATATAAGTGCACTGCAGCCCCCTATAGAGTTGAGCTGGATCAGCTCTCTGAATGGCTACTGGAGCGGTGTGTCTCCAGAGTGGTGTGTTTTCCTCATGCTTACTCTCATCAGGGTGTTGCTGTTCATTGTCAGCAAACAGACAGCAGACATAACCAGCTTCACTGGTACGTTTATTTGAACAAACCTATTTCCCCAATCTCTCCAGCACTGATTCTATGTAAAAGAATAAAAGTGGAATTTCACAGCTATTAACATTTCTAGTCCCAGACCGTTTATACAGCTAAACATTTTTTCAATGCTTATTATCAGTGATGTAGTTTTTCTTCTACAAGTATTCCATCTTCTTTAGATTGTTCAATGTGTATTTCTTATATATGAATCCCATTGTCATCAAGTCTGTTCTCAGTCACAGAAATGTTCCACCAGGTTCCCAGGCTCTAAATCTGTACAGAAGAGAGACCCTCCTTCTTCCCAAGACGATCCTCTAGTTAGGACAGAGACTGCCCACAGAGGAGCTGGTGGATGTGAATCACATGCCTTCAGGATGGCAGTGCACATTCTTACCTGTAGGTCACCAGAGCTCCTCACCATTTTAGTAAAGGGTGTTAATTTATGTCTTTAGAATGAGTGGAGGAGAGGCAGTTAAGTCAGGGATGTAACAAAAGCAGAAACTATGATTCTAACACCATTAAGTCAAGCAGCCCTTTCCCGCTGGGCTGAAATGGAAACACTGCTGTGAATGCACTGGGTTCTCCACCAGGCAAGCAAGTGCAGAGAGAGATGGGAAGGGAAATGAGTATTAGAAATGTCAGTCAATTCTAACATTTTCAGGACTCTTTGGACATTTTCCACAAAATGAGACTAAGTTTTGTTATTTAAAAAACTATTTGTATTTTGTTTTCAAGAAAAGAACAAGTACTAGATGAAGAATAAGAAATCTGCTGAAAATGAAATTACAGGTGATTTCTTTCCAGCGTCACAGCACCATGCAAGCCAACACAGTGCAGCAAGCTGACAGACAGGTGGAGGACAGGCAGAGGTGCACACACACACACACACACACACACACACACACGAGTTCACACATTTCTCTACAGGACGCTGACGGATACAGATCCCAGAGGTGTATTAAAAAAATAAACATGCTCATCTAGATAATAACATAATTATGATAAAAACAAAAGGGGGGAAATATGGGAAGCCAATATTAAATATTTTTAATAAACTGACTGCTATTTAAAAAAAATAAACAAAAAATTCTAGTGAGATAAAATTGTAAACATTTTCTATATGAGTAAGAGGCCAATGAAGTCTTTTCAATAAATATAAATGGCTAATGTAAGACTCTGGTCTGGGGAGTGATTGTCACAGTGGAGGGACACAGAGTGCTTGAATTAGCAGATCCCAGGTCTCAGTTACTGATGAGAGTGAGGGAAGAAAGCAAAGAGGAAATGTTACCCAGCCTCAGCGATAGCCTGGAGACAGGTCTATTTATGCTCAGTCATGCACGGACGAACAGAAGCTCCAGCTACAGGCGGAAGACCAGGCCACAGACTAAAAGTACCCTGGAGCTACATGGCCCACACTGACGCTGTCCCACATGACTTGAACTTTTTTTAAACCAGCCAAGTAGATTATAAAACACCTTTGTTCTTCAAAGCTTTATTAATAATGCACGATACCACATGACTCGTGACTTCTTGTTGGCAGTGTGGCTGGAAGTCAGTGGCTCTCAATCCTGGCTGAACACTAGACTCGCCTCAAATCCATCCACTGACATTGTGTGTTTTTTAAGATCTCCAGGCAGTGATAATTCTGAGCCCTAAATCACCACAAATGACAAACAAGGAAGTGAAAGGAGCATGTAACTCTTGTTATTTCCAATTCTAGGAGTAAATTTGGGAGAATGGGGCAAATTATGTAAATCAGTATTTCTCATTTACATAAACACACCACACACACACACACACACACACACACACACACTGGGGACTGCCAATGAATTAAAATAACTCAAGCTCACTGCTGTCAAGTTGAGACTGACTCATAATGAACCTTAAAAGGGTTTTCTGAGGTGGTAAATAGTCCCAGAAGAGATCACCCTGAGAAGCTGTTACTGGATTCAAATCACCAGAGAAGGGTCACTATGGGGGTAGTAGTGCAACTCCTCATGGACTCCCCTACCAATCTTAAAAATGAGAAATCCCCTGTGTAAAAGAGGAAATAGGTGACAAAGAAAATGATCAGTATCGTGAAAGGCCGCCCATGATAAGTGGATTTTTTTAACACCAAAACCAAGATTATTTTATGACAGTCACAACTCAAATACTTGTCCTAAAATTGTACTGCAGAAAAGGAACACAGAGATATAATCTATGGTGTTCAAACAGGCCTGTGGAGCAGTACAGGCCTCTATTTGAGAGTTTCACTAGTCAAAGAGAAAAACTAGGGACAGTAGACTAAGTCACTTACAAAACTAATTTCATCCTACGTTTGCGGCTGTTTTTCTGTTTGTAAATAACGATGATACTGAATAGTAGCATTGAAAATTTTTTTAGAAGTATGTATTTTTACTTGACAAAATAAAGGTCAGATACCATGCATGATAAGCCTGGATTTTAAGCCACTAAATCTCAATGTCTGGGAATCAACAGTTCGTTTTTTGTTTACAGCAACTGAGCACAAATGTTTTCCATAAACCTTCACCCAATAAGCTGCAGATAAAGACCTGCAGTCTTTCAGGAGTTCTATCAGCACCTCAAGAGTACTGAAGTGCAACGACGTCAGGCTGGAGACTAAGGTGTGCCTGATCCAGGCTATAGTCTTTGCAATTACGTGCTATGCATCGGAGAGTTGTACAGTGTGAATAGGGATGATAGAAAGAGAATTTATGCCTTTGAGCTGCGGTGCTGGAGAAGAGTGTTGACTATACCATGGACTGCTAGGAGAACAACCAGGTTTGTCATAGAGAGGGGGAAGCCAGAATGCTCCTTGGAGTCAAGGATTCTGAAGCTTCCTCTGACATACTTTGGGCATGTTGCAAGGAGGGACTGGTCCTTGGAGAGGGACATCATGTTTGGCAGAGTGGAGGGACGGCGCCGGAGAGGAAGACCCTTGATGACATATATAGATTCTGTGACTGGAGTGGTGGGAATGAATGTTTGAGACGGCGAGGTTGGCACAGGATAGAACGGCGTTTAGAGCTCTTGTACATAGAGCCACTATGAGTCGCAAACGACTCGATGGCACATAACAACAACAATCAGGACCTCAGCTCTACCAATGTACTCTTCATCCTTCTTGAAAGTTCTGATTCTGACTCCAACCTTAAGTATATTGGGCAGTTCATGAAATCAGTAAATTCGTCTACAATTTGACCTATTTTTAATTGTGGCTTTCCCTAAAATGGGCATCTACACAGCACCCCTTAGTAGTCCTTCACAATTCAGGGAGAAAACAGACCCCACAGAGGTGAAGTCCCCGCGTTAGGGCTAATGAACAATAAACATCGACATAAATGTGAACAAGATCGCAGCAGATTTGACAAAGGGCAACCACGCGTTAGGGTAACTGCTGACGCTGGGAGTCCCTGGAGGTTGGGATGTCCTTGTTCCTACTTGAGTGTTAGGTCTGAAATTCCTATTATAGGAGAAAGGAAAGAGGAAAAAGGGGGACGAGAAAGGTGGAGAGAAGATGCGAGGCCCCTGCTCCACCGCCTTCCCGAAGGAAGCGTCCGGGAAGGAGGCGCCCCAGCTCCCACCTGTGGTCACCGAGCCCTCCACGGCCACCCTGGGCGTGGCCAGCCCCGCCGGACAGCGCGCCCGGCTCGGCGCAGCGACTCACCGGCCGCGCTGTAGGCCAGGCGCAGCACCCGGCCCGGCGTGGAGAAGGCGCCCCGCGGCCGGCAC